GGGCAGGCTTTCAAAACTTTCAATAGTTCTCGGGCAGGCTGCCTTTTGAAACTACTAAAATTTTTGAAACTATTGAAACTTTTGAAACTATTGAAACCCTGCCCTCCCTCTTTTAATAGTTTCAATAGTTTCAATAGTTTCAAAAGTTTTGAAAGGTACGGGATGAGGGTGGGCCGGGTTTTCAAAACTTTCAATAGTTCTCGGGCGGGCTGCATTTTGAAACTTCTAAAACTTTTGAAACTATTGAAACTTTTGAAACTATTGAAACCCTGCCCTCCCTCCTTTAATAGTTTCAATAGTTTCAATAGTTTCAATAGTTTTGAAAGGTCCGGGATGAGGGTGGGCCGGGTTTTCAAAACGTTCAATAGTTCTCGGGGGGGTGCCTTTTGAAACTTCTAAAACTTTTGAAACTATTGAAACTTTTGAAACTATTGAAACCCTGCCCTCCCTGTTTTGAAACTTTTCAATAGTTTCAAAAGTTTTGAAAGGTACGGGATGAGGGTGGGCCGGGTTTTCAAAACGTTCAATAGTTCTCGGGCGGGCTGCCTTTTGAAACTTCTAAAACTTTTGAAACTATTGAAACTTTTGAAACTATTGAAACCCTGCGCTCCCTCTTTTAATAGTTTCAATAGTTTCAATAGTTTCAAAAGTTTTGAAAGGTACGGGATGAGGGTGGGCCGGGTTTTCAAAACGTTCAATAGTTCTCGGGCGGGCTGCCTTTTGAAACTTCTAAAACTGTTGAAACTATTGAAACTTTTGAAACTATTGAAACCCTGCCCTCCCTCTTTTGAAACTTTATAGTTTCAAAAGTTTTGAAAGGTACGGGATGAGAGTGGGCAGGGTTCCAAAACTTTCAATAGTTCTCGGGTTGAGGCCGAACTTGCAAAACTATTGAAACTATTGAAACTTCTGAAACTATTGAAACCCTGCCCTCAAGAAAGAGAAGCGTCACATAATACATAAAGGTTTCTCTTACATATATATATATATATATTAGATATTTTTATATTATATATATATATGTACATACGTAAGCATTCATCAACCCTGAAACATCCTAGGTTGGCGCTAACCTCCTAACCCTCCACCCCGAAACCCCCGAAGACAGCAAACTCTTCAATTTGAGTTTCCTAAAGTCCTAAATCCCACCTGGACTCTAAGGAACTTACCTTTTTTCTGGCTCCTTCATATGATTTCTTTATATAAGTCCATAAAAAGGTAGGTTACGCGGGGTTAAGGTAAGCCCTTATCCCTCATACATGAACCCAGTAATCTAAACTACCTGCTCCCCAAACCCTGAGCCCTATTCAGGCCAAGGAGGAGGAGGCCACCCCGAAGCCGGAAGCCGAGGTGTCGCTTGTGGCCTACTTAAAGGGTCATGGGACTTAGTAACTAGGGTTATAACTAGGGTAACTATACTTATAAATAACCTTACTTTCTAAGTCCCATGATCATCCAAGTAGTAGGGCCAGTATACCAGGGATTAGGGTTTTGGGCGTTTCAGGGCCTTTATATTATATGGTCATGTTTAGGGGTTGAGGGTTCAGAGATGGGGGCTTTAGGGCTTTGGTCATACTTACAGTGCAGGGATTAGGGTTTTCGGGTTTAGGGTTTAGTTCCATACTGTTCTCTAGGCTTTGATATATTGTTTATGACGCCCTGCAAGGCTATAGCTATCCTGAGGCACGTTGGCCACCGGAAAGGACACTGTTATTGTTGAAGGTCTGCTGGTGTTTAACTCTTCCATTCTTGTTTTACTGATTTTGGCCACTTGGGCAGTCGTGATTCATGAGGCTTTGGCCGACTGGTGCCTAAGTCGGAGCCCGGAAGATACTGCAGTATTGCTGAGGAATGTAATTGGAGCTACAGTACCGTATAGGTTTATAACTTTACAACAGCCCCGAGTTGGAAATGGCGGGACATCAACGAAGGAAATCAGAACGTTGCCGACGTGAAAGCCATGTTCGAAGTTGCTTCCAGAAGAGATCAGTGTTTAGGGGGCCTCCTAAAGCAAGACCCATAGACATGCGTCAGGCTGACACGGATGCAGGGCCGGCATCTCAGTTCCCACATGTGAGCTTCTAACGTTTCGTTCGTCTCGGTATTGTTCCTGTGCATCCTTGTTGCTGATTGGGTAAAAATTGGTTCGTACGGCCAGAGATTACTTTGAAGGCGGTGTACGAATGTTGATGGAGCTGATCTTGAGGCTGACGGTTGGTACCGGCATGGTGTTGCTGGAAAAGACTTCGCATGTACATGCTTGCTTGTAGGATTTCCATCTCCAATTCTATTGCCTATTGCACGTGTTACTTCTGCGACGATGACATAGACAGATGCTGTAGACATGTTGCGGCTGCTACAACCGTGGCCACAGCATTTTCGTTAGTCGCAGGAAATCAGAGTAGTGGTCGCAAGTAGTCGTACATGTAGGAGTTGTTGCCGTCGTCGTACAACGACAACAGCGGCATGAACAGGGGCAGGAGCGTCAGCATAAGCGGCAGCACCAAGAGCAACGACATAGACATAGTATATAGCAGCAGCAGCAGCAGCGGCAGCAGCAGGAGCAGTAGTGGCGGTAGTAGTTTATGTAGAAACGGCTCAAAGCAGCCAGATAAGACGTTGTCAAACCCCCAAGAAGAAATGTGACGACAAGTATATCGGGGCCGCAGTAAAAGCCTAACGCAATCAAGCTCTTAACCCCCCAGCCCCTAAAACAGGGATTGAAAGCACCCTACTGTAAACCCAAGAAAAAGCGCAAATATCTAAGCATACAGTCCACAAGTGACACGTGCACACAACCAAACAAAACAACAACCAAAGCCATCAACAGCACACAGAACAAAGCAATGCACATCCACAGCAAGGCAAAAGCAACAACACTACAAACCCCAAACCTTGAATTAGTCAAAGACAAAAAGACTACAAATTTAAGAACCATGCTAGCAAACAACCCTAAACCCTAAACTCCCTAAACCCTGAATCCTAAACCCTAAATCCTCAATTCCCTAAATGCTTAACCCTCAACTCCCTAAACCTTGAGCCTTGAATCCTAAACCCTAAACTTTCAATCCTAAACCCTAAACTTTCAATCCTAAACCCTAAACCTTCAATCCTAAACCCTAAACCTTCAATTCTAAACCCTAACCCCCCCCAACCAAAAAAGAAAATTCAATAAAACTAAACTCCAAGAAAGGCCCGCTTCGGCCCCGGGGTCGGGGCAGAAGCATTTCTTGGAGGCCGGACTTTCGGGCTGGGAATGCTGAAAAGCGTTACAATTAGTTACCCTTTTAGGGGGGCTACAAGGGGGCTTCAAGGGGGGTTTCAAGCAGGGGCTTATTATAGTAAACCCCGTAAAGTTTTAAACCCGATTAAGGCCAAATAGTGCTGGGATTCCCTATACATTAATCTTAGAGATTGAGGCTATTGGGTTTCCAACTTTTGGGCTACTACTGTAGTGCCTTTTTTAGGGGCTTCGGGGAAAAGGGTTTAGGGGTTTCGTGTTTAGGGGTTTAGGGAATAGGGGTTGGAGGTCCATGAGTAGTTATAAACAGGGTTATAATTCCCCTACTAGGAGTTATGCCAATAGTTACCCTAAATATATCCCCATTTGTGACTACCTACGAACCTCCAAGTAGTACCCTTATAGTATCCCTCAAGGGTTCCTTTAAGGGTCCCTTTAAAAGGATTTATAGAAATTCTACAAGGGTGTACGGTTCATGGCCTTATACCCATGAACCCCATTGTAACTAGTCTCTATCATTGGTTCCTAACTATGAAAATCGTGGGGGGGTGGTTCCTTAATATGGCTGGCTGAAACGGATGCTTCGGAGTTTGGTTCCTTTGTTTGTGATGCTTTGAGGTTTGGGGGTTTGGGGTCTTTGCTGTCTTGCTGCTCGAAAATTCGTAGTCGCAGCTGTGACTAGTATCTTGGCGGATGAGCAAGATGACATCCTCTTGCGCTGACGTGGGTTGGCAGGAACTGCACCATGTCAGTGTCAAGAAACAGCGCCAGCGTATCCGAGCGATGGACACCGAGGCCAGAGAACCCTAAACCCTACCTTTTTCTCTATGCGGCCTCCACGAATTGAAAAGATCCGAACAGAGGTTTCGAAATCTTGTGAGCCAGTCTGGGTGCTTCGGAGGCACTCCGAGTGCTTGCCGAAGCTTGCAACGTTCAAGTAACCATCCGGAGTGGAGTGCTTTGGCCTGGGCAGAGGAGGCTGGAGCCAGCATTTAGGGCTTATCAGGGTTTTGGGGGTTTAAGGAGTTTGGGGTTTAGGGGTGTTTGTGTCTGTGCGGGGGACATTACCACCCGGTCTTCTGAGCGCATGAAGCAAGTCTGTCTAACTAGAAGTCCATGAGAACTCCAAGCTCTAATGCCTTAAGACTTGAAACCCTAAGCCCAACGCGCAGACAGAAACCCTGAACCCGAAATGCCGAACCGACTGCAAACTTTTGTGCCTGAGGAGCACGTTCGCTGAATCCAGGTACTAAATCCTAGCGCTGAACGCTACGCCATAAACCCGAAACCCTAACAAACCTAATTACCAGTTTCGGATTCCTGTTGTCCGACTTTCTTGCAACAGCCCTTGAACATGCAGGTTTTGCTGGGGTTCATGAAGTGATAGGAACCTGATTAGGAAATTCCTGCCTTATGACCCCAAGATACGAGCATCCACATAAAGAGCCCCAACAAAGACCCGAGGCTTCTTGGTCAGGTTCCGGCATGAATCCCCAAACTCTCAACCCTAATGTAGGAACCTGGTTGAGAAAGCTTAGGCTTGTTTTTGGAGTTCCTTAAATGAATCCTGCCATTTTGGGGTTATAGGGGCAGGGTTTCTTAATGAGTTTGAAAACATTAAACCTTATCCCAACACCCTCTTCTAATTGATAAGGGCCCTATACTCTTTCTTATAGCAACCCCTATGAAATTACACCCCAAACCCCCTAAACCCTGATGGTATCCTTATAAAGCTCATTAATGGAAACCTGATAGTTCCCTGTATAACCCGGAACCTAGATCCAGAGGCCCTGTAATAGTCATAATAATCACAACAAATGATACTACTGTAGCAGGAATAAGAGTAATACTATCAATAGCAATGTTATGGTCAGCCTAGCCATACAATGTTGATAGGTTGTAAAAGATATCCGTATACACTTTTTTTGTAACAAAAACCTATGATAACAGTATGGGAGTTTCCGAAACTAGGGGACCCTAATATAGTACCTGAATAGTAGGATCCTTATGATGCGGACCCCACAATCCCCAAACCCTAAACCCTAAACCCAATAGATCCCTTATCGGAACCCTTAGAAAGGAACCCTTTATATAGTAGTTCCTTTTTGGGGTTCATATTTCGCCCCATAGTAGTTCCTTTTGGGGTTCATATTCACAATCCTAAAAAGTAATCCCAACAAGGAACTACTATAGACCCCAGGAACCCTTATAGATCCCTAAACCCCTAAACCCCTAAACCCCTAATCCCTTAACCCTAAACCCCTAAACACTACTCCCTTAACCCTAAACCCCTAAACCCTAATCCCTAAACCCTAATCCCTTAAAAACCCTAAACCCTTATAGATCCCTTCAACGGAGCTAAGAGACCCAGTCCTCGAGGAGCTGGGTATGCGCCAGGGTCGGGCTCTCGGCACAGCTTTCATGGAAGCGACCATTAGAAAGGAACCGGCTTTTTTTCATGAAAAACATGTTTTTAAGGAACCATAATGTAGTTAACCATTAGAAAGGAACCATAATATAGTCCATTAGAAAGGAACTATAATATAGTCCATCAGAAAGGAACCATAATATAGTCCATTAGAAAGAAACCTGTCATTAAGGCATTTCGGACTTTTGCGAATTATATTAGGGTCTAATCCAAGGAACCATTGTAAAGGAACCATAATATAGTCCACTATAAAGGAACCATAATACAGTCCACTATAAAGGAACCATAATGGCATTTAATATAGTTAACATAGACTATAACTATATAAGTAATATAGTTATAGTCTATGTATTTATTGTATTAAATATCAACCCAGACATGGGAGGCAGACTTCTCCACCTCAGGGTTTTAGGCTTGGCCTAGGGGGGTTTAGGGTTGAGGGCTTAAACCCTAAACCCTAGGGCCCTAGGGTCAAGCAAGTTCTTTGTGATCATAGAGTCGCAGTATTCACGCTATCATTACAATTTCAATTGTTATGATTACTCAGTGTAACAAGAGTAACAATTGTAAAACTACAGTAGTAGTTTCTTGGATCCCCGGTAAGCCCTAAACCCTAAGCGCCTAGGCGGTCGGATGTTATCGGCCCCTGGTTTGTCTACTCTTCTTTTTGGGTAAAGCTCACCAGAGCAGATCAACGTCTTAGGGTATATATGGTGCAGCGCTGCTAGGCCCCCCCTCCCCCGCCCACACCATGGTATCACCACTTCCCCCTCTGGTTCCCTGTACTGTGGGTTCCCCCTTACCCTTCCCCCGTGTGGTTGCAGTCCAAAGCCCCTGATATTGATGAATATTATGGTGATGATGATGACGAAGAATGTCATCTGTGTCGAAGGCGGGGGCAAGGGGAAGGGGCCCTGTGGTTCCCTGTGTTGTGGGTTATCCTACCCCCCGTGGTTCCTTGTGTTGTGGGTTATCCCTCCCGCGCCCCGCATTTGCTAAGGCGAGAGGCCTGGCTTGCGGGCATACCGTGGGGTGGGGAACGACTGTTTGTTGGGACGAGAGGCCTGGCTTGGGGGCGGGGGAGGGGGGGGGGCATACCATAGGGGGTGGGGGGGGTGGGGGGGGGGGGGAGCCTGCGACGCGGCGACGCGGCACCATACATGGGGCTTGGGGGATTTAGGGTTAAGGCTTTAAGGGGTTTAGTGCGTAGGGATTCGGAGTGTAGGGCTTGGTCACTTAGTATTTTAGGTTTAAATTAGGGGTTTAGGATTTAGGGATGCGTTCGGCGCCCTCCTCAACGGGCCTTTGGCAGGTCAACTTGCTCAGAAGAATCCCAAACCCTAATAAGGCTGTAAAGGGTATGACAAAGACGAAGACAGCGACGGCGACAGCGGAGACGACGAGTTGATGAAGTTGACGGTGGCGGTTGTTTGACCATAGGCCGTATAAAAGGCTGCCTGCTGCAGCTACAGTGGGGCTCGACGCAACCGCGACGGCCGCGATTCACCAGAATAATCACGACGACAACCAACGAGCCGCGGCGACGAGCAGGACGGCACTTTCGCTGCCTGCATCATTGTCGCCGCGGTCTTTTTTAAAAGGGTGCGGCGACCATGGTGGGGGCAACGAGCTGCAGCGCTGGCGAGGGAGAGGCCGACGTAACGAAGCGATGGGGTTTAGAGGTTTAGGTTCCCGACTGAACGATTCCGATTGGAAGCGTCGCCGCACTCGTCGGACGCACGCTTTCACGGCACGTTCGCTGCCTGCATCATTGTCGCCGCGGTTGTTTTAAGGGTGCGGCGACCATGGTGCGCCAGCGAGGGAGAGGCCGACGTAACAAAGCATTGGGGTTTAGGGCTTAGGGGTTTAGAGGTTTAGGTTGCCGACCGAACGATTCCGATTGGAAGCGTCGCCGCGCTCGTCGGACGCACGCTTTCACGGCGCGTTCGCTGCCTGCATCATTGTGGCCGCGGTTTTTTGTAAAAGGGTGAGGCGACCATGGTGGGGGCAACGAGCTGCATCGCTGAGGCCGACGTAACGAAGCGACGGGGTTTAGGGCTTAGGGGTTTAGAGGTTTAGGTTGCCGACCGAACGATTCCGATTGGAAGCGTCGCCGCACTCGTCGGACGCACGCTTTCACGGCACGTTCGCCTGCTGCATCATTGTCGCCGCGGTCTTTTTTAAAAGGGTGCGGCGACCATGGTGGGGGCAACGAGCTGCAGCGCTGGCGAGGGAGAGGCCGACGTAACGAAGCGATGGGGTTTAGAGGTTTAGGTTGCCGACCGAACGATTCCGATTGGCAGCGTCGCCGTGCTCGTCGGACGCACGCTTTCGGGCGCTTGCATAAGCAGCCCCATGCAACCCGTGCCTTTCGTCAAAACGTCAATGCTGGCCATGCTCACCGCTCGGCCAAGTCTTGGTCGCTGCGACCACGCGGCGCCCAAACAAAACACAACACTAGCAACCGGGCGCGGAGCAATAACTGCAACCGGCAGCCTCGGGCCGCAACACCCGTCGCAGAAAGAAACAGTCAGCGCCACAGGTCGTGGCAAGTCCTTGCCGCGCCACCTAAACTTATATAAACAGCTATAAACTCCAAAGCCCAATCGTTTCCTCACGTTGGCCTCGTCGCTGTACGTGGTGCTGGCTTTCCTTTAACTAATGCTAGAATTTATTACATTATATACTATAGCAGTACTTTGGATTCACATTGCAGAACACGAAGAGCAAATTACAGAAGATGTTAAGTCGTGGAACCAAACGGACAGCAACAGCAGCAGCAGGAGCAGCAGCAGCAGCAGCAGCAGCAGCAAGACAAACACGCATGCGTGACCTGCGTTTCTGTTCTGCGGCCGCTCCCTGGTCGCCATGGCAAACCACATGGTTAAACATGGTTGCCCGTCCTTTGCTCCGGCAAAGGGAGGTGTGGTAGAGGGTGGGGCTCCACTCACGTAAGAGTTCGTTGTTTTTGACTTGCGCAATTTTCCTGACTGGTGACGCTTTCGAAGCAAATGTCGGTTCTCTTTCCGTGGTTCTTGGGCGCAGCAATCCAGAAAGACGATGGGCGACCGCCGCCACCGCCACCACCACCATTGCATTCACCACCACCGCCGCCACCACCACCACCGCCGCAGCCACCAGTACCGCCGTTACCACCACCTCCGCCGCCACCACGGGCACCGGCCGGCAGCGGCACTGCCGCCGTCACTGCCGCCACCCGCCACCGCCAGCACCACCACAAGCAACACCAGAACCGGCGATGTTTGTTGCTTTGCGAGGCTGCCGGCCGCAGCAAGTGCTGCACCGGAGCCACTGTTTCGATCGGCCCTGCGCGGCAGTCCTTGGCAAGCATGAGCGGGCCCTAGTACCTTGCCGGGGAAATTTTGTGTGTGAATGTCGAGTGAACAATAGTTTTTAGATCTAAACCGCCGGAACTGAAGTAAATAAGAAATTGGATTGCCCAACTCCTGCCACAACCGACTGAAACAGTTGCTCGCACATGGCAGTTGCTCGCGCATGGCGGTATTTTTCATGCATGAGCTGCGTGCTTGCACCGGGCCACGCGGTCCAGATTTTTGCCGCCCCAAGGCGCAAGCAGGCGGTAATGCCTTGGTACCTATCTCCCCGACGCCTCAATAACCCAAAAGTTGGTCCTTATTTGTTCAGCATAAATACTTCTCCACTGTCCCCCCTCAACTACGCAAGCACTGCTTGCTCTGTTCTGGTTTTTAGACGAGGCGTTCGGTTCTGGATTTTGGGAGACACAGGACCTTGCCGAGCAGGCAAGCACCTTCACAACGGACTCCAGTCAAAAGCAAGCTTGCAATGCTTTCAGGCCTTCGCGCCGTCATTCTGGGGGCTGCAGTAATTGGACTGTGCAGTGGGATTCCAGGCCAAACCTTTCAAGTTCACGGTCTATTAACATACTAAAGCAGCTTCGGGTTTCAGGCAGGTGATGGAGGCTTGCAAGGTTCCAAGCAGTCTTGTCAAGCGAACAGCCTGGTTGGAATTGAGGTTGGGCGTTTTGCAGGTTCTAGGTTCCCAGGCCTGCTTTTTAGGGCGGGGGGGGGCAGGGCGGCCTAAAAAATGCCGGTACATGACAACCCAAAGTTTCAATAATGAACGTTCCCTGCGGATTAGGATGTCAGTGCTAAGCATGAAAAGTTTAAACTTTTTTTAAGCTGGAGAAAGGCAGTAAGATTTTGGGGTCCTTCTAACAAGGATCCTACTATTTGGGGTTCTATATTAGGGTCCCCCATTTTCGGAAACTCCCATATCTGAATCTGTGGCAGGCAACCTAAGGCTCAATATGTGCCTTTATAGTTATGTAGTTTGGGCTTAGTTGAATGAGGTTCCTATATAGGCGCTTGTATACTGTGTAGGTACATGGAGCCCCAAGGTAAAGGGTGAAGGGCTCTATGGCGTTGGGTCACAACCGAACAACGAGGAGTTCCTCCTGACAGCACAGCCTTGCCGCTTTGGCGCAGATTTGTTCCAGCTCTCAGCGATTTCGGGTCAGCCTGCCACCTTAGTGATGCAGTTCCGATGAGCTGCCAGGCCTAGCGTGAGGCAACGCCATTTCAAGGAATGGTCGACGAGTGCTGCGACCATGCACTTTACTTGCTAGAATCGCTGCGCGGCAGGTGATGGCAATGAGTTCTGTTTGCTGAAATCCTCTGGCTGAGCTCCGTACATGTTTCTGTTTTTGGTGATTCGGACGGTTTCTTTTAGCGGTTTCAAGTCTTAACCCTACATACTACAAATAGAACCCCATTGACCAAAGCTGCTCACCCTAAACCCTAGAAGCTTGAACCCTAAATCCTCATAATAATCCCCCTAAGCCCGAAACCCCAAACCCTATACTCCTAGCCCCTAGACCCACTAACCCAGAGACTCCTATATCCCTTAATCAAGGAAGATTCCTCAACTCGTGTTGGGGAGCCTACAATAATTTAAGGTACATTCCTCAATTAACGGATATTGGAGTTTCTGGGAACCCCTCACCACCAAATTCCCTAAACCCTAAGCCCAAACCCTAAACCTTCGACCTTGAACCCTCTCTATCAAAGGAGCCTTAGCCTTTAACCCTGTTGGTTTGCGCGGGCAAGGCCCAAGACGGGCCTTGCCCACGAAGTTTGGGCCTTGCCCACGAAGTTTGGGCCTTGCCCACGAAGGTTTGGGCCTCGCCAACGAAGGTTTGGGCCTGCCCGGGCCTTCGTGGGCAAGGCCCGTTTTGGGCCTTGCCCGCGAGCCTTGCCCACGAAGTTTTGGGCCTATTTCGTGGGCAAGGCCCAAACCTTCGTGGGGCAAGGCCCAAACCTTCGTGGGCAAGGCCCAGACTTCGTGGGCAAGGCCCAAAATTCGCAAGCTGATGCTCTCAACAAAGCTCCCTTCGCTCCAGTTCTACGGCAGCAACTTCTAGAGTTGTCACCGCCGCCATAGTGATGATAGTCCACCCAAGCCATCGCAAATGACAACGCTTGCAGAACCGCTACTATGAAATTTATCGTGTACCGCAACGGCGTCGAAGTTAATGACTCAACGCATATTTTTAAATTAACTATATTGAACTAAGCTGAAAGCAATGATAAAAACTTTGTCCTTTTTAATATTATGAGCTTACATCGACGGCATCTTCTCGGTGGAAAATCGACAGCGACTTTGTTGAGTTTAACGATGTCAATGTTGTGCTAACGTTCCGTGATAATAAATTTTGAGCGGGGATGAAGTGAAACTTTGTATTTCCCTCATGTTATTGGATTCTGAGGGTGGGTGGGTGTTAGTCCTCAACCATAAACACAACTCTACATTAAAACTGCTCGACCCGGAGCTGCTGATCCCAAACCCTAAACCTTAAGCCCAAACCCTAAACCCTAAGCCCTGAACCCTAAACCCTAAACCCAAACCATAAACCCCAAGCAATAAACCCTATACCTAAACCCGAACCCCAAGGCAGACGAAACAGAAGCAGAAGCTTTCCGACTCGTGGTGATTTTCGGGCTTAAAGAAACCTTCACAGGTACCCTCGAAGGGCTATTAGGGAGTTTAGGGTTTAGGGGTTGAGCACTTTGGGGTTTAAGGGTTTAGGGGGTGTAGGGGTTTAGGGTTCAGGGTAGCCTCAAGACAGCCCTTAAGGGAGCCCTAATGCTGAGTTGTGGATTGGAGCACTACGGGCGGTCGGAGGCACAGCCACCAGGCGGGAGAAGAATTGTTCCCAGCGTTTAGGATTTAGGTTTTTACGGTTTCAGGGGTTCGGGACATGAAAGTTTTTGTGGTTTGGGATGTTTGGCGTTTAGGGCTCTCTGGCTTACGGTTGAGGGGTTTGGGTTTGAGGGTACTCTTCGGGTTTAGGGTTTAGGGTTTTCACCGGATTTTTTCGGATTTTGTGTGTGTGTGTGGTGATGTAGTCTTATTAAATTCTCTCTCATGGTTGATACATGACATATTCAAGGGTTTCGGGTGTGATGAACCGGCTTTCGGCATTGATGAAGGGATCAGAGTAATCGATGCAGGGTTACGGGCATTCAATGATACCCCAAACCTTAAACCCTAAACCGTTAAGGGAACCCTAAGCCTAAAACCCTGAATGCTCAATACGGGGCTAGGGGTTCCAGGCTCCTGTGATGACATTGGTTTCGGGCTTTGACGTTAAGGGTTACTATTAAGGAATACTACAATATACCTTCAGGGCTACACTACATACACACGAGTTACAATGAGGGTACATGTAGGGTGAAATGAGAGGTTGACTGCGGGTTTCGATCTAAGTGCTTTTGCTTCGGGGCTTTAGATGTGCAAAGTTTGTGCGTGAATGGGGTTTAGGGGTGTAAGCCCACAAAGTGCAGGCCCAACGCCGGTCAGACTTGTCGAATTCCACGTTTGGTCACCGTTTTTAGCCTACCAAACCCTACATTTTTGTAGGTTCTTATTATGAACCCTAATATGGAGTCTATAGGGACCCTACAAAAAGTAGGGCTTTGGTAGGCTAAGGTAAACCCTAAACCCTCGATCGGTTCCGCAGGCTGATGAAGGTGCCGGAGTTCAGGTGGAGAAGCCTTCCTTCTTGACCGACAAGGCATCTTTTAGGGGTCCAGCGTTCAGGGTTTAGAGTTCAGGGTGTAGGGTTTAGGGTCTTGAGGGGTTCAGCGTTTAGGGATCTCCCACTTTTCAGTTTTCGAAGGCGTCTATCATGGCTTTATAATGCGCTTAAGCGTGTTTAAGGACTGGGCGCTACACTCTGTGACACTAAAAGCCTTAACGCATGCGTCCCTCGCAGGGTTTAGGTCAATCCAAAACCCTTCAAACCCAATCTACGGGAGGCGATCTGTCTTAAGAACCCTTAACCGTTTAGGGCTTAGTGTTTCGGAAGTTCGAGCTCCGCAGTTTCAAAACATAATCACTCTCGCGAACACCTCTGGTCGAACCGTGAGCCCTAGATGCTTGGCCGTGAAATTATTGGGTTCCGAAGTCTTCCCAATCTGATGCCTACACACTCAAGATCCTTGATCTGTCCCCCCAACACGCCGCAGCAAATCGACAAAATGAGCACAACGCAGCATGCACACAAAATACGTGTCAAGCTTGCTTGTGGTTTGGTATTGTTCATGATGACAAAGCTAGCATCTTCAGACATCCGGACAGGCAGCGTTAAGCATGAGTAATCTGAGAATACTACACACAATGTAGATAGCTAAGCACATGAACGTCTGGTTCTCTCACACAGCTGGCTACTTGTGGACAAGGGTGAACTTGGTGGCACTCCTTCAGTCTCACTGTCTGTGGCAGAAGTTGGAGAGTGAGGCCAGCGTCGCGATCGCCCACCTGATGCTGTTTTGCTCCACCCCATCTGCCCTAGGGGGTCTGGGCAGCTTCAATGACACAGTCTCTCGAAGCTCAGCCTTCCCAGACAAGCTCTCCTCCTTTGTGGGTCGGCGATTATGTCAGAGGAGCCGTGTGTCAATGACCTTGTTGCGTACGACCTGTGTCCAGATCTTCAATCTCATGGGCGCAGCTTCGGACCCAAACTTACGGGACTTCTGTGAGTACGGCCAGGAGATCTCCACAGAACTCAGCATGGGGGAAGGCGAACAGAAGGGCGATGTTCCGGGTCCTGTTTCCACGGTTTAGGGTTTAGGGTTTGCTGACAGTTTGCAACGAATGGTTGCCGCGGCATCTGGAGCAAGGACATCCCGTCGAGCAACCGCCCGATCAGCAACTTCGCAATCACCGAACCCCCGAACCGAGAGTTCTGCTCAGATCCACGTTCACAAATAACAATGAGTTCTTTGTACAAATGAGTTCCTAGTACCCTGCCGTTCAATGCAAGGACAACATGGCAACATCTTCTGTACTGAATCCTTTGTTATCGTCAGTAGCTATTACACCGAATACGATTATTGCTGTTGAACTGAGTTCCTTGTCCACAAGAATCTCTTACTAAACGTTGCCAACCCTATTAATCCCAGAACCGGCGTGGTGAAATTATGCGGTAACTCTTCAAGCCCGATAGGAACTCCGCAGTTACACACCACCCAAAAGTACTCAAACAAACCCTATACACCACGCAGATCACTCAGGAACCCGGTGCAATGTGTTTGAAGGGCCTATAAGCCCTTGATGCCATGATTACCCCAAGCCCTTGAAGAAGAACCTGAAACCCTGAACCCTGAGCGCTTCAAGAAGAAGCCTTAGCCCGAAACCCTAAACTCTGCAAGAAGTCTGTAGTTGAAAAGCTTGGTGCGTGTAAAGGAGGTTAATAGCCCAAGTTACCGTAGTAAGGAAACCCAGTTAGCTTGAATGAGATCCCTTCACAAGAGGCCAGAAACCCTACACCCTCACCCCCCAAAGACCCTGAAACCCGACACCCCAACCCCTTCTAACCCCCACAGACCCCGAAACCCGAAACCCCCAGCCCCTTCATAACAAGACTAAGCCCTAAACCCTAAGCCCCTTAACCCTAAACCCCTTCATAACAAGAGCCCAAGAAAAGGTGCCCGAGCCCGGGGACGAGGGCATTCGGCTGATCAGCCTGGACCGGGCTTAGGTTTGGGGTCCCTTTAAAGGGATCCTTAGGCTTGAGAAAGGGGTTCCTTTAAAGGGATCTTTAAAGGGGTCTATAAAGGCTACTATAAGGGCACTATGATATAGGGGTCTAAATAACTACCTATACTATCTTGGGGGCTTCCTCATTGTAAGTATAGTATAACGGGCCCCAAAAGCTTGTTTTAATTATTGAGGCCGCTATACTAGGTTTTAGGGCTTGGGGTTTAGGGTTTAGGGTTTGTATGGCTTAGGGTTTAAGGCTTTAGTTCCTGGAGACTTTTTCCTGGGTTCATGCGTTTGCATAAATGAGGGTTGAGGCGGGTTTAAGGGGTTTCGGGTACTGGAAGTTAGGGTTTATGCTTTGCGGTCTATGGTGGTGGGGTCTAGGGATTTGGGAGTGCAGTTCCAGGTCTACTGAAGCCCCACGTAACAGCCTCTGTTTCACATCTTGTCACAATGACCTGAAACGGTTGACGATATAAATCCTGCATCACCTTAAAGACCCTAAACTCTGGGAATTATGGTATATTCCTCATTATGGGTAATGCAGGGTTTATATCACCAACCCTACCAAACCCCTAAGCGCTGTAGAGACCCTATAGATCCCTTAAGGTACCCTGATAAATCCCTTTGAAGGAACCCTAGGATTTATATCATGAAGCGCAGGACTGGCACAACGAGTGCCTGGGGCCGCTACTTGCTGCACCGTTTGTTCGGTGCTGCCAAATTTACAAGGCCCAGACTTTGGGAGTTTCCCAAAAAAAGGGGGGGTACCTTATTTTAGGGGTCCTTATAATTGGGATCCTACATTTTAGGGTACTACGGTAAGGTCCCTTGTTATCGAAAACTCAGATATATTATAGATCCCTAATTTTCATGTGCTCAGGCAGTTGTAGGGGCTGGCAAGATTATCAAGAAGGATTTACACAGGGGTTCATGAGTAGCTTTATGGTTTTCCAGGTTTTTGGACTTTAGGATCAAACCCTAAACCCTAAAGGGGTGTAGGGCTCTGGGCTCAGGATGTGGAGTGTTCTTGGAGTGGCTGTCGGGTGTTTTCCGCCTTGAGGGTTGTGGGTCTAGGGGCAGGACCTAAAGCGGTCATGTCACGCTCGCGGTGCCTACTACTACTACTACTACTACCACTACTACACTGCTGCTGCTGCTGCTGCTGCTGCTGCTGCTGCTGCTACTACTACTACTACTACTACTACTACTACCACTCCTACTCCTACTCCTACTCCTGCTCCTGCTCCTGCTCCTACTCCTACTACCACTACCACTACCACTACCACTACTACTGCTGCTGCTATTGCTACTGCTACAGTGTTGTATGGCATTCACCTCCCTCTTCTAACCTTCGTTGCAGGCCATTTCCTGTGAGAGCTAGATGTCAGCAAGTGCGGGCCATCGCCGCCTTCCACAGAGGGACGACCACGAAGGATACCGGGTGGCTTGGGTCGCAGGGGTCGAGGCTGCAGGGCCTGGAGGAAGGGGTGCTTCGGTTGATGATATGAATCCTGCATTACCTTAAAGACCCTAAACTATGGGAATTATGGTTTATTCCTTATTATGGGTCATGCAGGATTTATACCATCAACCGTTCTTGGTGTAGAGTAGCCGAGCTTCAGTTGGATCCACGCATGGAAGCCGGCGACAATGTCCCAAAGTGCGACAGTGAGCTTTTTCCCAACTGCCTGCAAATATCGGGCCCGAGGTGGGTGTTCTTTGTCTTGAAAAGTTCCATTAAGCAGTTGAGTATGCAAGATTTAGTGTATCACTTGATCTCAGTGGTCAGCTTCACGGACAGGAAACTCAGCAAACAGATTTCAATCAGGGGCGACCGAGACGATGACACTACAAGCAGTCGAGCTGCTTCGACGCGGAACTGCGTTGAATTTTGGCCAACACATGCTGGAATAACACCACATCACATATTCACCTTGTTTGAGCGTGTGGGAGCCGTACACCATGAAGCCTGCATTTGAGCATCAAACCTGAAGCAGTAGCGGCATGACATGTACGTAAGTCCTTCAGCAGAAGCAGCCACGTGCGACTACCACGACGAAGCTCTGTGTGTGTGTGTGTGTGTGGGTGGGTGTGTATGTGTGTATATATATATATATGTATATATACATACATACATACATATTACAGATTATTGGTGTCACTATTGTTAATTATTGTTTTTTGGTTTTATTATCGTGAGTTTCTTAGTAGTCTGATTATTGTTGTTATTATTGTTCTTATGACTATGTTTGTTATTGTTCTTATTCTCGCTATCAGTCGTATACGTATTATTAGTGTTAATGTTTTGCTGTGAATATTATTCTTATCTTGTTTACTACTGTTATTCGCTTTTACTATTATCATCATTAGTATTACTGAATACTACTATTGCTTAGAAGCTGCCCCCACCCTGTAATAGTGGTATAATAGGAATATATAGGGCCCTAATGTAATCCTTATAGTAGCCTTATAGCCACTATTACAGGGTGGGGGCAGCTTCTAAACTGTTGCTATTACTCTTCTTACTCTTATCGCTATTGGTATGCTTCTTGTTACTCTTGTTGTAATTCCATATGCATACACATAGATATATACATGTCCACACACACACAGAGATGTGTTTGCAGATTTTGTGTTCATCCATTCTTTTCTGTTTCGGCATTTACGTTTAATCACATTCTGTTTAGTTTGCATTATATACAACTATAATGTTTATCGTCGTATTATACACTTTATTTGCTTTTGTTGGTTATGTAAACTTGTATTTATATGCGTGTACACAAGAGAGACAAATACACGCAGACACGCTGCACCGGAAGAACTATAGTCACCCCAGACCTTGCAACCCTAAACACTAACCCCCTAAACCCTAATGGTGTTTGAACCCCCGGGTGGCCCGAGGTTGGTCCTTTGGTCCAGCAGTTGTGTTTGAACGCCGCGCCGGGAGTCAACGAACCCCACCTTTTTACCCCCCCAAGGAATCACCATTCTTAGGGTTTACATGCAAGAAGTGTAGGTTTCTTGGGGCCAGGTAAAATCCTCAAAGCCTAATCCCCGAAGCCGAACCTCAAACACGATTTAGTGTTTTGGAGTTCAGGAAGAAGTAAGCCCTGAAAAGTCCATGTCAACGGGCCTTCCTGAGCAACCCAGCATCTTGTGGTCGGAGTTGTAGTCTCTTAGGGGTACTTAGAAATATTTTTAAATTTTTGGTTATTATAATCCCTAAGAAACGGCAAAGATAGTAATTGTTGCTAGGGTTCTAAGTTCAGTATAGTTTGTAGTATCCAGCGATAGATACTGCTAATATGGAGCCGTGCCATGCCCGCACCCAGTTAATGGAGAACTGCCAATATAGAGCCCTTCCAAAAGTGTGTTTATGACATACCCGGGTCCTCAAAAACCTGCATTGCTGGGGTTCCTGGAACAAGTTGGAGGTCCAGGTAAGAGAGACAAAACCCATCATCCCGCGGCGTCCGGGCGTGGGTTTAGGGGTTGTCAGTTCCGGTCACATGGTCTGTTTGAGTGTAGAGCACAGCTGGAGTTCTGAATGCAGCTTTCAAGTTCACTCGTTTGCAAACTGCCGCAGTCGCAAGCTTGTGTCAACTCAGTTTTCCTGGGAAGCTATACATAAGCCGACGGGATTGTCAAAAACTCTGGAAACGTTGCCGGTTAGAGACAATTTTAATGATCTTTCATCTGCCGATCAAGCAGGTAGCTCCCCGGCAGCGCATGCATGCCACGCTAGAGGGGCAACTGGCGTGAATTCACGAAAGTGGGACGACCTGCCCTCGCATTCATACAGAAGCCTAAGTAGTTGCCAATGCTGTTCATTAGGGCTCCTTATCATAAGTGTGCTAGAATATACCGTTTCTCCCACAAACCCTATTCTGAATAAGCCCTATACCATAGAACCCCTAGCAATCCTTTCAGAACCCAGTAAAGAACCCTTACAGGAACTATAGCCTACTTCTCATGCTCAGGCTGGTTGACAAGGAATCCTCCACCAATCACCATTAATTTACCCAAGGAAAGAATACTTTGGTTTAGGATAGAGGCTTTTTACGTTAACATATTCTGCTGGGTATATGGTTATTAGGTACCTGGACCCTTAGGGCCTGAGGAATTCAACAGATTTTCAAGCTGGAGCCACCTAGCCTTGGCTTGCAGCTCGAGGTTCCTCTGATCTCTTTGACAAAGTACTTAGTAGCTGAATGGAGACACTGTAGACTTTTTGGGAAAATATTACCCCCTATATAGATCTGAAAGTGTACACTTTCTGGGGCTTTTTTGAACTCAGCAACTAAGAGTAAGATAGGCAAAGCGAAATTTTCGAACCGCTCCAGTCCTGAGCTGGATTCTTACCTCTCCCGTTGCCACATGCCCTGAACCCTAAGATAAAGCCAGAAAGTTGGAATATGATTATCCTGAACCCTTTAAGGTAAATCATAGGGGATCCTACCATTAATCCATATTCCAACTTTCTGGAGTTCCCTTTAAAGCCAGCTGGCGTCCCGTGGGAGGACAGGAGTGTGAGAGGCTCCTCTACCATAGGTTGTGCCACTGCTCAGGCTGGGCGTTTATGGTAACTTGGCATGTGCTGTGATGTGGTCTACCCGAAACCCCGAAGCCTAGCGACTGTTTCTTACTCTTCCTCAACAGCTACCTTGCGTCTTCAGCACGACAATGGCGCACCGTTCGCACGTTTCACCCAGGCTGACGATCTGATGCCGACCCGACCCCGTGTCTCGTCCGGTTCGGGGTACGTCGACCTATACGTACATAGATGCATACGTGCATGCATACGCACCGGCATACATACATAGGTACACACATACAACGCAATACAATACAGTACGACGCAAAGCAACGCAGTCCAATGCAATGCAGTCGCCTACATGCCTAACTACCGACCTATTTCATGTTGCCGGCTAGTCACCTACCTACCTGTACCCACCAACCCACCCACCCACCCTCCTACCTACCCAGGCACGTACCTACGTACGTACTTGCAGCACAGTACGTGCTTGCAACACCGTGCGGCCCGGTGCAACACAATACAAGACGAAACAAGACCTCACAAGACAAGACGAAGGATCCCTTGAAAGTTTACAGTCTGTTCCTCACTTGAGGGATATGGGGCTGGTTGGGTAGCACTTGGATATCTGTAAGTCTCTAAGTGCTAGACCTTCTGCAGGCACGAGAAGTGACAAAGCACAGGGCACATGTACAACCGGTTGAGCATCGAACCTTAGATGTCTTCGTTGCTCGAACTCTCCCCTAAATCCTGCATAAATTAATAATCTGTCTGGATTATGCTTCCCCAAATACTATGCCGTGCTCGTTTCATCCCAAGGTACTTCGGAACCCTTTGATTATCTATGAAGCCTGTTGAGATTTTGGGGCGCAGCCGGAGTCAGTACAGCCAAGCTACGTGGGCGCCAAGTGCTGAAGCCAGGCTGGATATGTTGAGCTGGTGAGATTAAATCCTAAGCCTTAAACCGTGGTCTTAAACTAGGCTTTTCTTGCACCCAGGGAAAGCTGAACCGATGCCTGGCGTTTGGCATTTGGACCCAAGATTTCTCTACCATGCGAAGGTGCGCAGAAACGCGGGTAAGACTCATCAGGCGCAAAACTGTCCGGAATAGGGTTTATAATAACGAATAATGGTCAGCGTCTGAGGGTTCTCATTATCTGAAATTCCCACACTCAGCACTCGGGCATGGCAAAGTCCAAAGGCCAAGACCGTCAACCAATCCTAAGCCTATCTTCATGGCTAGAGCTAGCTGGGGTCGCATTGTGGCCGACTCTAGCCAGCGCCCTCATGTTTGTTGTTGATCGTTCCAGTATTGAGGTCGAGAAGTCTAAGGATCAGGGGCAGTTCAGGATTGCGCTTCTACCCAGATGCTACAGAACAGTAGCTTCCGTAGTTAGGCTGAGTTCACTCTTTTTGGATAGTGTGTCGGTTCATGTTTTGGGAGGTCCAGTTCCTTGTTGAAAGGGGGGATCTGCACCAAAAACCACTTTTCTGCTCCGCATTCCAACGGGAGAGGAGTTCCGGCACGGGTAGGGTCGTTCGTGTATGGGTTTTCAGTTGCGAGAACTTTCGCAACTCCGCACTTGGAGATTCATGGGTAGTTACAAAAGGCGTTAAAAGTCTCCTAATAGGGGCTTTAAGTTAAAGCCCCTGGTCAACAGTTGGGGCCCTCAAAATCTGGAAACTCCAAATGCCAACCTCTGGAATCTAAAGCGAGGGCTCCCGAAACTCCCAAACCTGCTGAACAGTTGGGGCCCCCCAAAACTGGGAACTCCAGAGGCCTCCAAACAGTTGTGCTTTTGCTGGGGGTGTATATATAAGGAAAGTAGTTTCCCACTGTTACTGGGCGGGGGCAGATCCCAAGCTTTAACCATAGTTACCCTAATTATAACCCCCCCTTATAACCCCCATGAACCTCCAAGTAGACCCTAAACCCTGTACCCTTATAGAACCCCTATAGATCCCTTTGATACCCATGAACCTCCAAGCAGTAGAAGGCCGATGACTGTTGATCTTTCTGGTTGTTTGGGGTAGTCTGTGCAGTGAACCGCATGTCCTCCAGCCAGATAATAATATCAGAGTTTAGGACCTTAGCTTTAGGGCTTGGGATCTGGAGTTTAGGATAGCTACCGTCCTTAGGATTCCTTATCATGACTTCCTGATAAAGTCCTTGGCAAGCTAGGTGAATCAGGGCGGCAGGTGGTTGAGCAAACAAGGAACAACCATGGCAACAACAAGTGTGGCTTAGGGCTTAGGTTCAAATCTGGGTTTGTTTTTTAAAGCCCTAAACCCTAAACCCTTAGAGAGATTCAGATCTTGCTGCGGCCCTTAACCCTAAATCCTAAGCCTTGGCTGAGCGTTTGGATCTTGCGGCGGCCCTAGAGTAGGTAACCTTTAACCTTTTTGGGGGTAGTATAGCCCCTATAAAACCCTATAGAACGAATAAGGTTAAGTTTTGGTTCCCCATGATACCCGACAAGTAGGAGCATCGCGGGGAGCTTTGGAGTTAAGTCTGGAGATAGCAAAAGACCTAGGTTTTCTCGTTTGGAGCTTTGTACACAGGCTCGGGGCTCCGAGAAAGTTGCACTTGCAACAAGGGGTTTCGAGTTCAGGAGTTTCAGCTTATCTGGTTTTGCATTTGTTTTCACAGGTGCCTCAACCCTAAACCCTGGACCCTCAACCCTAAGCAACACTTCGGTGTCAAACAGTTTTGGTGAGTTGAAGCTCGCGTTGGAGATGTGCCTGCCCCAGGCAGCTTTAGCGCCGCTGTGCTTCTTTAAAGGGTATAAGGCTTAAGGTCTAAGTTACCATAACAGGGATCTACAGTGAATAATATGGTTTCTGTTCAGGTGAACCATAAACATCGTCAGCCCTAGACACAACTTGGTAAACATCTCACTTTCGGCCCAAGCACAACTGACATCCATTGAAGCGATGGATTTGTTCTTGAGGGCGGAGGGTTTAGATAAAGCCTGTGCGTTTCTCACTGATTGTGCCGCCACGTTTACCTAGTGACCTAGTGTACTGCCAATATGAATTACACCCTTTTTGCAGTTTATTCCGTTATTACAAGTGGTGCGGTTGTTATCGGTTTTTGAGCTGCTACGGACATGCAAGTAGTGGTCTCATTTATGAGGCAAAGTACTTCCTGCAGTGCTTTCGGGTCTATGCTTAATAGCTGTCACGGAAGGGATCACGACTTGGCACCTGCCGCACATGGACCGGCCACGCTCTACTGGAGGTTGCAGTGTGTTTTGTTCAGGCCTGGACGACATGCTGCCGAAGCTCTGCATACCCTGAAGCTTCGCATCGTGAACCCCATTTTAATTTTAAGGTCCCCGTATAAAAGTCGAAGTGTAGGAAAAGGGTACCCTTATCTTAAAGGGGCTGCTCGAAACTTAGGGGTTCAGGGTGTTGGGTTTCGGGGAGGGTTGCGGTTTTTTCTGGAGTTTGTGCCACCCTAAATGCCTAAACTTGCAAACCCAGGGTTTCTACAGGAACTATAGGTTCTAGGGGTGAATGTTTTGAGTTGAGGGGTTTTGCGGTTCTGGTGTACATGGTTTAGCGGTTGATTGATAGAAAGGCTGTTTAGCACAGAAACAGATATTTGTTCAGGGCTGCTTCGCGTAGTACTTTTGCCAAACCGGCTAGCCAAGAAGTGCGAGGTTGTTAGGAAGATGACGAGCCGTCGCTGCGCAATTATGGTCCTGATATTACAACAGTACATGCTCGTGGAAATGCAGATCCCAGATTCATAAACCCACTACCTCAAACGGGACTACGACAACGATCCGAACATTGAGGCTCTTAAAGACGTGAGTGCGCGAAGCAGGGGTCTACATGAATGAGTTTAAAGCAGGCTGAATCGAAGGTGGCAGCTACTGTGCCTGGACTCCTGTGCCACAGTGCTCACAAAATGAAAGTTCTACAACAAGAGAAGAGACCTTCCCACTGCACAGAGTGTGCGCATGAGATTTTTGACGAAATCCTGAACCCTAAACCCTAAACCGATACTGAGTGTTCAGATCCACTTGTGTGGGCGTTGCCGAAACCGAACAGAATTTCGTAAGATCCGGTCGCCATGGACATGGCGGCATGTGAGCCAATGGACGTGGAGCAGGAGGCACTTGGAGAGGCTGGGGATTCCTTTAAGGGCTTCTTTCGGGGATCTTTAAGGGTTCATTTAGGGACACACTTATCATCCCTATTCCTGAACCCCTTAAACCTAAACCCCTAAACCCCAAACCCCAGCCCCTAAACCCTCGGGTTCAGCTTTTGGGAGTCAAAAATTACCAATACTATGGTGGGGGCTCCTCATTACAATTACAAGGAAATATACCCAAAGCCCTATTCTAATTGGGTGGTTGTCGAAATCATGATCCCTGTTTGGGTGCCTATTATAATACGGCACCTACTACTTAGGGTACCCAAAAAGGGGGACCCTAACTTTCACAACCACCCAATTATATAGATCCCTTTTAGAACCCCTGAAAGGAGCCCCCCTTATAATATCCCTTTAAAGGAAGCCTTAGAATATCCCCTTATAGTATCCCTTTAAAGGAACCCCAGGGTTCCTTTAAAGGAACCCTAGGGTTCCTTTTAAGGGAACCCTAGGGTTCTGTGGGAGATGGAGGCGCTGGGAGAGGTCGTCTTGCTCCAGACGCAGCTGAAGATGCACGGCACACCAGTGAGGCCTACCCTCATGCAGGAGCTTCCTGCCCGTGCCTTTTTTTTAGGGTTTTAGGGTTTAGGGTTTTAGGGTTTTAGGGTTTTAAGGTTTTAGGGTTTAGGGTTTCGGGTTAGGGTTTGAGGTTTCGGGTTTGCTTGAAAAATAATGTGGGGGGTTTCCGAGAATAGGGGACCCTAAGTACTGTAGTAGGATCCTTATTGTAAGGACCCCAAAAAACGATACCCCCCTATTTTGTTTCGCGTGCAGACTGATCAGTGAATGGTTAAATGCCTATTTCAATTAACGGGTACACGAATAAGCAAGTGAACAAACGTATATGTATAAATATGCATCCATATATTTATATAAACATACATATGCACACACACACACCTTCACGGCACATGTGTTGCATGTGCATAGTCTTACGAAGGAGTTGTCTCTAACGGCCCTCCAACAACAGCAAAGGCTGGATGTTGGTCCTATTCTGACGATGGTGTCCGCTCAGCTTCAGCATCCGATACCGCTCTTCGCATTGACGGTGGGGCTGGTGGTGCTCGCCGCCATGTTGTGCGGGATGCGACGGTGTTTGCAGTCCGGCATTACCCCACAGCCGCCACAAACAGAAGGTATTAAGCTTGGAATCTATGGAATCTTGCTGACGCAGACTCTGAATGCATTAGCCACCATGGTGGTTTTACCAACCCTGCCTTTCTTCGCGATGACACTGGGTGCGACAGCATTGGAGGTGTCTCTCATGAACTCTGCATATAACCTAGCTCAGATGTTCTGCTCCCCGCTGTTGGGCGTACTATCCGACCGCTATGGGCGAAAGCGAGTTATGCTGGGAGGCATTTGCATCCAAATGATCTGCAACACCTTCATGGTGCCTCGGCTCGATGTTCTCTGGTGCTGTGTGTTCGAGATAGTGCCATAGGGTGATAACGGCGGGCACAACAAGAGTGTCCCAGCATCTTCTACGAGAGACTCGACTGTATGGCTCTTTCAGCAAAATGGGGAGCTCTGATACCGTACCCCAAATCGTAGGAGCATAAACCCCTAAACCCTAAACCCCTGAACCCCTAAACCCTAAAGCCTAAACCCCTAAACCCCTAAACCCTAAACCCATAGTCTTTTTCACATGTGCATCGCAAGAAGGAGCCTAAGAAGGGACCCAGGGTTTCGAATCCACCGGTATTCGTCAGAATGATAAGGATCCAATCGCCGGATCCCACGAACGTAGGAACCTGATTAAGAAAAACCCTAGGCCTATAACCCCAAAATACGAGTAGTAGGATTCATATCAGGAACCCGAATGAAAGCCCAAGGTTTCTTAATCAGGTTCCTACATGTCTCGAGACCCCTAATTTCAAACACTCCTTTCGTTCAAGGCCCTAGCATTGGGTTCGCGACTTTTCCCCGAGCACATACAATATGTCACCCTATAAACCTTAATCCTGGCGTTCTTTTGGTTGGCTCTTAGGGCTTTAACTTTTTGGGCTTCTATATGAAGCACAATAAGGAGGCTAAAAGTTTAACTTTTTGGAGAGGTTCGGAAGACAGCCAAGTAATCATAAGGCCTAGCCACTACAGTAAACCCTAAACCCCCAAGCCCAACCTACACCCAACCCTGTAAGTCACTGGAAGTCCTCACCCTACTAACCCAAAGGGTCCTATGTACCGATATAGTAGAATGGAGGGTTTCCATATCAGGAATTGCCATTTTGACTTAGGGAAGTATCCCCCACAACAGTACATAGGACCCTTTGGCCTAGTACTATAGTCTCCTTAAGAACTTTTTTGTTTTGTTCATATAAAACCCCAGAGAATTATAAAACAAACATGTTTTTTTCGTTATGGTTCTAAGGGGGGGCATAGACTAAGGCGCAATCCAGCAGTCTGACCCAGTTGCTGCTGGCTCGCATGGCTGTTGGCATGGCCCTGAGCACCGGTCCGGTCGAGATGGCTTCTTGGCGGTTTAGGATTTAGGGTTTAGGGTTTAGGGAGTTCAGGGTTTAGGATTTAGGGTTTAGCGTCTAGGGAATTCAGGGTTTAGGGTTTAGGGAATTCGGGGTCTAGGATTTAGGGTTTAGGGTTTAGGGAACTGTAGTCTTCCTCTTTTCCTTCTGATGGACAATAGTTAGGGCCCTATTCGGGCACGTTCCAATAACCTAGAGGAGCAGCATTGCTACTTCAATCAGGGTTCTGCTTGCGGTGTAGTTTTGTTTGTTTTAGTGTTTCGAGTTTTCGAAGTGTGTGTTTCGGGGTTTTGCTAATTTATGTCATAAAGGAGCTAAGGCTCTTACACGTTCATAAACACCCTGAGGTAGGAACCTGCTTAAGAAACCCCGGCTCTATAACCCCAAGATACTAGGATTCACATAGAGACCCCTAATCAAGACCCAAGGTTTCTTAATCAGGTTCCTACATTAACCCCACTAGGTTCCTAAGTGGTGCCCGTTTGCCCTTTCATTTTCGCGTCCCCTGTCTAAAACCGAATAGTAGGAAACAGGGTACCCTTGTCACAATGGGGCTACTCAGGAACCTAGTATTGCTAAACCGTAAGCCCTAAACTTCATACCCTAAACCCTTTTTAGGAATTACTCCTACTTAAGTTTAGACCGGTCGGGGTGCCTTGTTATGAATAGAGTATAGTTGAAAAACGGTCCCCAAAACCCTACTCTAATTATTAAGGCCCCGATAGTAACACTTCGACCCCACAAGCGAGGCTTGCATCATGGGTTAGAATGGGCGTTGGGGCCCCTTTTACAGTATATTTGGAATATTGTTGGTAATTATTTAGGCTTCTATCGTAACCTTCATGCACCAGAAGCCCCGTAAACCCTAAACCCTTCTGCCTTAGAAGGGGCCCCCACCCTGTAATAGTGGTATAATAGGAATATAATCGGGCCTTGATATAATCCTTACAGTCACCAGTACAGGGTGGGGGCCCCTTTTCTAACTTCTGCCCCAAAAGCCCCCTAAACCCTTAAACCCTCTAAACCCTAAACCCCTAAATCCCTAAACCCCTAAAACCCTAAACGCTAAACCCCTAAACCCCTAAACCCTAAACCCCTAAGCCCTAAACCCCTTCTATCCCCGAAGCCAGGCTTACATCATGGACTTCCTGCGCTCCGAGGAGGAGCTCAGTCGCGTTCTGTCTCTGCAGCGAGTCATGACTTCCGCCGGAGCGCTGGCCGGTGACCTGCGCTTTGAAGTTAGGGTTTAGGGTTTAGGGTGCGCTTTGAAGGTAGGGTTAAGGGTTTAGGGTGCAAGATGACGTAAGGGTTTAGGGTTTAGAGTGCGAGATGAGAGATGAAGTTAGGATCTAGGGAGAGGATTTAAAGATTACCTCAGTTGGAATTGGAATGGAACCCTAAACCCCTAAACCTCTAAGCCCTAAACCCTCTTAACACGTTTCGGAACTTAACAAGTTTCATAGGTTTTTAAAAACCTATTTCTTAAACCAAATTCTGCCGGTGTTAGCCAGTTCAGTTCAGCGCTCTAAACACATTGATGCATTGTTTCCGTGGTGCTCGATCTTCGACTAACAAACCATGGCCAAGTAAGGTCCGCTGGTGGCCCGCACGTTTGACAAGCTGCATTTCAAGACGCTGTGCCTAGGCGGGGCGGCTATTTGATATGGCTACAAATCCATAATGTGGTGTTAGCAGGTGTGACAATGATTGTGATGGGTTTCTTAACATAGAGGTACTTTATTGTCAGGGGTCCGTATGATAGGGTGTTAGGGTCCCCCCGTTGGAAACTTCCACCTGAGGGAAATGGTTGCACGGATGTGTTTGCCGGGGCGCTTTGAACATCACAGAAGGGCACGTACCCCAACCCCTGTACCCTTGGGAGAGCAAGCCTGGAAAAGAGAAACCCCCAATCCCTTGACCCTTAACCCCAAAGCCTCTTGACCCTAAACCCTAAACTTTTTTAACCTGAAACCAACATCGGCTATTGAAGAGGATCTTGCTTATAGATGCCTACAAAACCGAGTCCCGAAGCCCTCAACCCCGTAGGGCCCTAAAACCCTGAGTCGGACCTGCTTGAGAATTAAACTCGGAGGTGTGGTCGGCGTCAATGTGCTGAATCTGATCATCGGCTCCGTTCTATGGGAGGATGCAGCTACTGGGCCATAGAGTAGCATACTGTAAAATACTTGCTTGACATGTTCCTTGAAGGAGCCAATATACCCTAAACCCTAAACGTCCTGTTTCATTCTGAAAACCGCAAGTACGATGATTTCTTTACCGGTGACTTTAAAGCTCAGGCCAAGACGGAGGGCAGAGACAGGAAGAAGCCCATCCAGGTGAGCTGTTTTGTAGGGCCCGGGTGGATGGGACTTCGGGGTTGCAAAAAACGCGGGTTTCAGGGCCCCTAAACCCTACACCGGGGTTTAGGGTCTGGGGGTTGAGGGTTTAGGGATTTAGGGTATAGGGTGTAGAGTTTAGGGGTTTAGGGGTTTAGGGCTTTTCGGGGTTGAGGGGTTTTGGGGCTCTGGGTGCTCGGGGGTTCTGGATTTAGGGCTTAGGGTTTAGGGCTTAGGGTTTAGGGTTTAGGGTATAGGGTTTTGGGTTTAGGGTTTAGGGCTATAGCTTTTGACCCCCTGTCAGAGCCGCGGTGACTCATATCTCTGCTCCCACGCGGATGCGAGCTAGGAGTTTGTCATAGTGGTCTTTGACAACGTCTAGTCCGGGGTTCAGGAGCTAAGGAACTGTGGTGTTGAGGTTTACAGAGATGAGACTCAGATGCCCAAAAAACTCCTAAGCCGCGCATCCCAGTTCCGTAAACCCCTAAACCCCTAAACCCCTGAACCTCTAAACCTCTAAACCCTAAACCTAAGGACCTAAACTTGAAACCGTAGAATGCGGAACACCCAATCTGCCCTTCTCCCTCGCCCAAAAGGTCGAGCAGGACGAAGACAACGATGCAGCGGAAAAGTCTATAAGTGACTGGCTTGTTGTTTTGAGTTTTGGGTTTAGGGATTTGGGGTTTAGGGTTTAAGGTTTTAGGGCTTAGGGCTCAGGGTTTAGGGTTTTCGGTTCGGGGTCTACGGAGTCTAGGATTCATCAGATTGCTTCCACTTGCTAGGTACCACATTGGGTACCAGCACCTTCCCTCTGCCCTTAAACAGTCTGTAGTGACTTCAATGGTCTTACTTGGAGGTTCATGGGTAGTTATAAATGGGGTTGTAAGTCCCCTAACACGGGTTATAACCATAGCTACCTTAATTATAACTCCACTTATAACTACCCATGAACCTCCAAGTAGTAGTAGAGTCGGCAACCTTTAACTTTAACCCTTTTGGGGGGACTAACCCCCCATATAACCTTGCAGGTTACCCGCTAGCCCCCCAAGGATGCTGGACGAGTAAGAAGTTCAGGGTTTAGGGTTTAGGGAATTACCTATAGTATCCATTGTAGTTCTTGTTTTGGTTAACCAAAAGACTATATTATAGGATCCTAACCGTAGAATTGGTTAATCAAAAAAAGGAACTACGGTGGAGACTTATAGGTAGGCTCCGCCATGATTCTAACATAACATACCCCCCAAAACCCTATTCTAATTATTAACACCCCCCCATATTTGGTTCATATACAACCCAAGAGAATCCTAAATACTTGTCTTTTCGTGGTTCTAGCGGGGGCATAGAGAATTAGGCTCCTCGAAACCCCAGAGATTCCAATATCCCGTAGTTAAGGAATACACCTAAAATTATAGTAGGATCCCCGAATTTGACTTAAGGTATATTCCTTAATTCAGGCATATTGGAGTCTCTGGGTACCCTAACCCTATAGATCCCTTATAGATCGCTTAAAGGAACCCTTATAGATCCCTTTAAAGGAGCCCCTTATAGATCCCTGTAAAGGAACCCTTATAGAACCCTTTTTGGAACCTTATTGGAGCGTCTGGGAAAGAATCAAGGTGAGCAGCTCAAGGCGATGTTTGCGAATCAAGCTGCTTGCGGCAACTGGTCTCCAAAGAAGAGGGTTGTTTAGGGTTTAGGGGTTTAGGGTTTAGGGTTTAAGGGTTTAGGGTTTAGGTTTAGGGTTTAGGGTCGACCTTATCCACTAAACCATCGGTTTTTGTTTGCAGGGTCCCCTTAAATTGATTATTATCAGGGCTTATGATAAGAAGCTACGAAAAGTAGCTTGAGGTAGTCACAGCTACAACTTGGGGTGGATTTAGGCTGCTGGTTTCGGGCTCACCGTGGTTTTCCTGGCTCAGAATGCGGTTTTAGGTTAGAAGCTGCCCCCACCCTGTAATTGTGACTATAAGAATTATATTAGGGCCCTCTTATAGTCCTATTATACCACTATTACAGGGTGGGGGCCCCTTCTAAGGTTTAGGCTTTGCTTGAGTTTAAGAAGCATCTATTTTGTTGGTCCGGGCACCCAAACCTTAGCCCCGAACCGCTTAGGTCCTAAAAGGGGTTAAGGCCTCAAGTTTTTCTATATCACACTCCCTAGCACATTTTAGAAGGGGCTTTGTCTGGCACTACTTCGTCTTTCAGAAATTCTAAAGCTGTTCAGGGTTTCAAGCAGCAGTCGAGTTTTTGGTGCAGGGTTATTAGCAGGGGGCTGGAAAACAGCAATACTGCTTCATGGAATATTAGTATCATCGTATTACATACCCGCCTATATCATATATCCTTCTTATTCCAAGGCGCAAGTACGTAGACTTGACTCGAGGACTGTGTGTAAATTCTTGGGTTCCGAAGCACCTGTGCCCCCGGTAAAGCAGATTTTTTTGACGTGGACCTGAATAGTTAGTAATAGCAGCCTTTCTAGGTCCCTATGGCCAGCACGTTACATTTGAAGTTATATAGGGGCTTAAATAGTTCCCAGTACGCTTTTGGGGTGGTTCCGTGTTATGAATATAGTATACTGGGCCCCAAAACCCTGTTCTAATTATTCAGGCCCCAGTAGTATGCACAACCCGGCAGAACCCTAGTCCAGTAATTCACGCTTCTGCAGCACGATGGCGAGAGCCAACAACCCAGAGACTCCATTATCCCTTAATTAAGTAGTAGGATCCCTAAGTTGATTTGAGGTGTATTCCTGAATATAGGAGTCTCTGGGTACCCTAAACCCTATAGATCCCTTCTAGATCCCTTCAAAGGAACCTTATTGGAGTCTCTGGGAAGAAGATAAGGCCTGCTTCTGGTGTCCTTTGTCTACGCATTGGGCTTTGCTATTGGGGATGGCCCAGAGATGGTCTTCTTCAAGGACCCCTCGGGGTTTTCAAGAAAAGGCACAGAGCCTGTGGCACGGCTTTTGAGGGATTGTCCGATGTTGGGAATTTGGTGCTGAGATGCAGCTTGAGGAGAACCCTCCCTGTATAGCTGAAGTCCTGAAGTCCTTACAACACATCGAGCTTGCTCCAAGGCGTCCTTTGCAACAACGATTTCGGGCTGAGCATGTCTCAGAATCAGGAAAGGTTCGGGGTCCATTCTACTGGTCTGAAGCGTCATAGGCACATCCATAAGTACACGTGACGAGCCTTATGCTCCTTCCTCGTCAGTATTTGGGCTGTGCAGCTGAGGGGTCTGAAGCCTCCTTGTGAAACCCTAAACCCTAAACCCTAAAACTTGCCTTTTAGAAGATTCCTTGATTATTCTGGTTCCTGTACCTAAGTCCTTGAACAGGCAGGTTACTTGGGGATAAGGGGGACCAAGCTCCTGCACGTTATATATATATATATATATATATATACCTACCCTATCACGTCCTCCACTTCAGAAAGCTGCAAAAGAGTTGAGCGCCCAAATGCCACGCCCTAAACCCGATGAAAACTGAAGAATTCCGATGAACCCCTGCACGTCGAAACCCCAAGCCCCGTTTACCATACATAAGCTGTTTTTCAAAGCTCCAATAAGAAATTGAACTGCCGCCCCATGAACCCCTTTGTAGAACCTGCGAAGCCACGAAGCCCAGAGCAGCTAAAAGAGAGGACCGCTTCGGCTTCGGCAAGGAGCATGCCTGCGTCTTCTACCTGTTGACCAATGTGTCAACTCTGGTACTTTGCCTGATTACTTGGAGCTTCATGGGTAGTTATAAATTCGGTTATCAGTCCCCCAATAGGGGTTATAACCATAGTTACCTTAATTTTAACCCCACTTATATCTAGCCATGAACCTCCAAGTAATTTAGTATCTAGCGGCCATACGGACCAGACTGAGGTTCTAGGGTCCATCATTGTATAAGTAGACGCTATTAGAGGACAGTGGAGGAAGTTCGTGTCTATCGTTGTAAGTATAAGTATACCAACATGCAATGACTATTAGAGAATAGTGGATTGGTTCTTCGTGGTCTTGAGATTTATTCAGGGTTTAGTGTCAAGTTGTGGGCATTCAGGGTGTGAAGCCACAGCTTTTTAGGGGCTTTGGAGACTCGTGCCGACGGGTTTAAAACTTCATAGGGTGCCTGAGTTGATTCACCGGTAGCCACAAGAAGCCTTCCTGGTAGACATCTGGACTCCCCAACACCCTGGCTAGGGTTTAGGGTTCCTAAACCATAAACATACCCAAACCATCTGCCCTAAACCCAAGAAACCCTGCGACTACCCGTTGCTATGGCCCGAGTACCAGCTATTCAGGCCATTGAAACATCTCAAAGCTCGTCGAGGCTCTAGACTAAATGAACATGAAGAAGCCCTGAACCCCAAAACTAAACCCTAAATTCTCGAAAAAAATGGCTAAATCGAACAGGCTCTTGGGGCCCATTATACTATAGCAAAAAATGAACCCCCAAAGTAGTAGCCTAAGGCATAAACCTAGGCTGGCCGTTTGCAGGCATGCAGCTGCCGTAGACCAACGCACACATTACTTATAGTTAACCTCTATGGTCTATCGGTGCCAAGCACCTATATAATCTTGTGTAGGCTAACGTGCTCACCACGCCAGGTGTGTTCTGCATGGGTCCCTGCCCTCTTGACGAATTTTGGCGCGCTGCCGCTTTGCATTGCCGGTGCTTTGGCCTTGTTGTTTATAGACCCTGCAAACTCATCATTTTTTCATTGTGTTGCAAAACCTTGTTATCGCGGGACCCTGAGCATAAACCCCGGTCGTCCCACATGTAATGTGAAAGGCACCCAAAAAAACATCTACGAAGAAGCCCAAAACTCTTACAGTTACCTTCAGAGCAGCCCATAAAGTAAAAGCCAGAAAGTTGGAATATGATAATCCTAAGCCCTTTATGGTAAATTATAAGGTATCCTACCCTGAAACCATATTCCAACTTTCTGGAGTAGCCCTTCCAGTAACACCAAGCCCTAAACCCAAACTAGGAGCCCTGACCCAAAGCCCTGCACTCGAAACCCTAAACCCACCCACGGCTGCCCTTGCAGTAGACCTACACCTTACACCCTAAATAGCAACCCCTATAATATAGGGGCCTTAATATTAATAATTAGAGCAGGGTTTGGGGGATCATTATACTTTGTTTGTAATAAGGAACCCCCAAAACAGTATTGGTAATTATTTAGGCCCCTACATTAGCAGCCTTAAGTCGCCCTTGTCAGAGGAACGGTTGGTGGTTCCATTGCCTCGCTGCTGCTTGTGTTCGGCCCGACTGCCCTCTGGGTGCCGTACCTTTGGCTTAGGGTGTAAGGGTTTAGTAGGCAGTTCGGGATGTTCCCCTTTCAAGGTTTGTACGGAATTGCGTTTACGGTTCCCGTACGGGATTTTATGAGAATAACTAGGTGTTTACGGAGTTCTGAGTGTCTAGTGCAACCCCTCGAAACCTTTCAGGGAGTTTTTACAAGATCTCTCACGGAACTTCGGGTTCGCGAGATCCGGACCCTCCAGGTGTCGCTTCACGGAGGTCTGGAAAGCTAGAGGTCTGCATTTTGGCATCTAGGATGAGGTATCCTACCAATAACGGGTAGGCTGAAAGAGACCATTCCTTCAGCTGTCGCGAGAAAGGCCCTAAACCCTAAACCCTAGCACCCTAAACCCTAAACCCTCGGCCCCGAAACCCTAAACCCAAGGCCCCAAACCCTCAACCCTAGGGCCCTAAACCCTAAGGTATGCTTTCGGCATTACCATGGTTGGCCTCTTCGGCACCATGATTGGCATGGGCTTCATGCACTTGGTCAGGGACCCCTGGATCTGAATGAGTACGCTTTGGGCAAGTCTCGGTTAGCACAGACCCGGGTATACCATTAGGTACTTCGGTAGATGATATAAACCCTGCATGGCCCGAAGTAAGGAATATACCATAATTCCCATAGTTTAGGGTCCTTAAGGTAATGCAGGATTTATGTTATCAACCGTTGGGCTTAGGGAAAAGTAGTGGTATGTCCGGTACAGCTGTGTAGAAAGTGAGTAGTTCCGGGGCACAAGCTCATTCTTGTGGTCCTTGTTTCATGGACCCCAAGGAGGCCATGTGTGCCTTAGAGTGGCGGGGGAGAGCTGTAGTCGGGTTAAGTTTAGGGTTTACAGAGGCTGGCGCTTTCTGTTTTGAGCTTTCGCATGGTGCTTTGTCCCTCGCTCCAAGGCACTTTAACACCTGTGCAGGGCTGCGGCTTGGGGTGGGGCTAAGGCGGCTAAGGATTCAGGTTGCGGCGCAAACAACCACAACCCGTGGAAACCCTGCAACACCTTACGAAACCCTGACGCCTGAACCTTACAAGGCCCTACTACCACGCCGGATCCCATAGGAAAGAACAGTTACAGTATGCAACCCATCAGGACTTTCAGCCACTATGGGAGTTTCCGGAAATAGGGGACCCTAATATAGTACCCTAAATAGTAGGATGCTTATTATAAGGACCCCAAAATAAGATCCCCTCAAGTGGGGAGGGGACTTCAGACCCCGGTCTGCAGACCAAATAGGCCGAAGGTCTGAAGTGGGTCTGGGACCAATCCAGACCCCCGGCAGGGTCAATCCAGACCCCCCGAAAAAAACGCAGTAACTTTGCATACAAAACATTCAGACGAAATGACGCACCGCCCGACATCGCGTGGCGGCGGGGGGTGGGGGGTGGGGGTGTTGCAGAATAGCATTGCTTGACGGGCCTGGCCAAGTCCTCGTCAGCAACCGGGTGGCAGATCGGGGGCGATGTCAAGATCTGTTCCATCCAGAAACCTCAAACGCAACGACCCCAAACCCAGAAACCCTGAGGCCAGAAACCCCAAACCCATAAATCCTAAACCCGGCAACCCAAGACCAGAAACCGGAACCCCAGAATCCTAAACCCAGCAACCCCAAACCCGGAAAACCCTCAAACCAGAAACCGTGAAGCCAAGAAACCCAAACCCAGAAATCCTTAACCCAGACACCCCGAAACAAGAAACCCTGAAGCCCAAGAACCCCAAGCCCAGAACCCGAACCCAGAAACCCCAAAACAAGAAACTGTGAAGCCAAGAACCCCCAACCCAGAAAACCCCAAACCCAGCAACCCCAAACCCAGAAACCCTGAAGCCAGAAACCCCGAAACCCCAAAACCAGAAACCGTGAAACCCAGAATCCTAAACCCAGCAACCCCAAAATTCAGGGACATTAAACCCTGAAGCCAGAAACCACAAACCCAAAAATACCAAAGCCATAAGCCCCCCAGCCAAGAAACCCTGAAGCCAGAAACCCCAAACCCAGAAACCCCAAACCAAGAAACCCTGAAGCCAGAAAACCACCACCCAGAAACTGCGCACAAACAAAGCTCGACGAGCATATCGGCCACAGTCATGGACGGGGGGAACGGGTCGCCCGGCCACCAAACCGGTCCCAAGGAGCGACATGCTGAAGGTGTAGCAATGTAGCAAGTCCAACGGAACTATATATTTCATTGGACTTAAGCATCAGAACCCCGAAGCCCAGAACCCACAAGCCCGAAAGCCCTGAAACCAGAAATCCTCAAACCAGAAACATCAACAAACCCTTTTTTGCAGAAGCCCTAAACCCAGAAACCCCAGAAATCACAAACCCAGAAGCCCTAAACCCTCAGCTTCGAAACGTCCACAAACGCTAAACACAGAAGGTTGAAAGCCAGAACCCGTCAACCCAGAAACCCTAAAACGTTGAAGCCTGAAAGCTGCATTAGAGCCAACAACATCCAGAAACCCTAAACCCTTGAACGCAGAAACCCTAAACCCGTAATCCCTTAGATCCTAAACCTAAGCAGAAGTCGTAACCCTAAAGAGAAAACCACAATCCTAAACCCCAAACCCTCGTGTCGAAACCCCAGCCCCTGTGGAATATAGTTTCCAAATCCTACAGCGTAAACCGTCAATCCGAGACCGAATCGGGTCTGTGAAGCTGGGGCGGGGGCAGGGGGGGAACGGGTCGCGGCCCTTCTCGGCACGCTGTAGCGCCTGCGGTTAACGTCGTAAACTGTTTTGACTCACCCAAGTCCCAACAGTAGAAAAGAGCGAGGGGGGGAACGGGTCGCGTTCCGGCTGTTGCTGCTTCTACTGCTACACCTGCGGCTGCGGCTATGCGAGCTGCGCGGCTACGGCTACGGCAGCGGCAACTGTGACCACTGCTTCTGCTACGCCGACGGCTACTGCTACTACTGCTGTTACGGCCACTGTTACTGCTGCTGCGCTAATGCTACGGCTAGTGCTACCCAGAGGCGCTACAAAACCCAGAAACATCCAGAAACGTTAAGCCCACATGCCTTGTACCCAGAACCCCTGAACCCAGAAACCCTAAACCCCTGAAGCCAGAAAGCCAGAAACATCCAGAAACCTTGAATAGAAACTCTAAGCCCAGAAGCCTTGTATTAACCCAGAAACCCCAAGCCCTGGACCCAGAAATTCGAAACCCAGAAGCCCTAAACAGAAACATCAACCCAGAAGCCCGAAAAACCCTGAAACCAGAAACCCAGAAACCCCAGAGACGGTGGCTCGAAATGAACTTGGCACCCACACTTCAGGAGTACCATACCTGATGGTGCACGTGCTCGACAGTCAGACGACCCAGATTAAGGGGGAAGACAAAGAACGTTCAGGAAACGCATCTTTCATTTCTTGTGCCTGACAGCATGCGGAGCACATAGGGGGATGTCAGTAAATGAAGTTTACCTTTTTCGCGCCCCCCTCCACAAGAACTGAGCACGGCACCGGTAACCCAAGCAGACGGTTCTTTTGGAGAAGAGTGTCTGTGGCCTTATTTTAGCAAAAGAACGGCGTCCAAACGCCTGCGGAAACCCTCCTACCCGACGTCTCCATTAGGGGATGGGGCGAAAGGGTTGGCGGGTGTTCAATGCTGTTGTTTCCGGAAGCCGCTATTCCGCAAGCATCGCCAAGAATATCACCAGGATGCCCCCAACGGACCCCAAACTCAAAATATCATGCGTCAAGACAGACAGTTTGAGACAGCCGGAACAGAAACTCATCAGTGCCACTGACTTCCCGCATCGAGCCCGAAACCGACACAAGCAGTATGTGGATCCAGGGGTTGGAGATCTCTTGGGGTCTGAACTGTGTTTTGGCCGCGGGGTCTGGATTGCTCCGGCGTTTTGAATCACAGCACTCGGGCCTCTGCTATCCAGACCCAGCGAAAAGGTCTGGATTGACCGGTGCCGAGGCAGACCCCCCCCCACTTGACCCTATAAAATAAGGTACCCTTAGTTTTCGGAAACTCCCATAGTTTACGCCCTTCCCCCCCCCCCCGAAAGTACGTCTGATGGCCCGACACTTATAACAGGCTGTTCTTCTACATACTGTTGGGTCCAGTTCGGGTTAGGCATCTTTTGACATTCTAGTTTGTAAGTTGTTACTACAGAAACTGTAGAGGAACTGGTTAAAGATGAAAGTATCTACCGGGTACCATGGGTGCTAGAAGATGACGAGGGGCGGGATGCAAGGATTGGTTGGTTGATTTGATTGGGGTGGTTGTCAAAATTAGGGTCCCTTTTCGGGTCCCTACTATAGTACGGCACCCAATATTGAGGGTACCCAAAAAGGGACCATAATTTTGACAACCACCCAATTCATTTGTTGATTGGTTGGTTGGTTGATTCGGTTGATAGAACGATTGCCTGATTTATTGTATGGGTTCCTGCGTTTGTGACTCCTTTGGAATGGTGCGGCCATGAGTTGCTGGCAAAAGGCTTCATCTCCTCGCGCAGGGAAACCCTGCTCCGAATAGGATTCGAGCTGACCTGTGTTGTGGCAACTCTATAAACCTTAATGCCTCAAACCCCTAAATCTCAAAAGCCCTAAGCCCCTAAACCCTAAACCCTTAAACCTCTAAACCCCTAAACCCTCAAACCTCTAAACCCGTAAACCCTATACCCTAAATCCTCAAACCTGAGCCCTAGTGTGCGGGGCCTCTCCAAGGAGTATTGCCCGGAGGATCTCATGGGAACTATGTTTGGTCTACAGAGTCTGGGCTTTGGAGTACCATACGGTTGATGATATAAATCCTGCATTATCTTAAGGACCCTAAACTATGGGAACTATGGTCTATTCCTTATTATGGGTAATGCAGGATTTATATCATCAACCGTACTTCCATCCTTTTTGGGGACCTGATAGGGTTTCGGGCGTAAGGGAACCATTGTGAAATCAAAGTCTATATGGGAGTTTCCGAAAATAGGGGACCCTAATATAGCACCCTAAATAATCGGATCCGTATTAGAAGGACCGCAAAATAAGGGTACCCCCTCTTTTCGGAAACTCTAAACCCTAAGCCCTTTATAGAACCCTTATAGATCCCCTTAAGGAACCCTTATAGATCCCTTTTTAGGTACCCCTAATTTTCGGAAACTCCCTCATATGTTTTGCCTCCTGGTTACTTGAAAGCTGAGGAGTTCTCTGAATGGGGCCGCGGGTGCTTTGGCGCCGCCCTTTGGTGGTTGGCTGTACCACCTGAACATCTTTCTGCCATTCCTCTGTACTTCTGCCTCCTGCGCTCTTACCGGCCTGCTAACTTGGTCAATCTCCGGGATCGTTTTCTTGCTTTTCGTGGTGTGGGCACGCTGATAGTGTAGAAGGAAGCCCGTAGAATGAAACCTTTTCCCGTCCTTCCTGCAGAGTCCAAGGCTATATGAGACTGCTATGCCAAAGTCGGTGAAGGAGACCGTGACCAAGACTGAGATCGTTGAGGCCCATGCTCAAACCTCGTTGGCCCTAAGCCATAAACCCTTTAGAGTTTAGGGTTCAGGGTTCCCAATCCCTGAGCCCTAACCTCCTTTTGCCTTACAACCCTAGGGCACTACAATGACTCCTCGAGCCCTCAACCATAAAATGGCCCCGAGCTCCTACATGGGAGTTTCCGAAAATTAGGGGTACCTTCCCTATAATAAGGATCCTACTATTAAGGGGGTTATATTAGGTCCCCCATTTTCGGAAAGCCCCACATAGCCCCCAGCCCAAAAGAGCCCTGAGCCGTAGAGCTCTGGACCTCCGCTCTCCCCTGCTTTGTGCTTGGGTTCATGGGTAGTTACAAGGGTTCCTTCAAGGGTCCCTTTAAAGGGATCTATAGGGATTTAACAAGGGTATAGGGTTCATGGGTAGTTATAAGTGGGGTTATAAGTGCCCTAATATGGGTTATGACTCGAGTTATCCTACTTATAACCCTACTTATCCACCCATGAACCTCCAAGTAGAGGTGCTCTATGTCGCCTAGTAAAGCCCTAAACTCTCAGAACCTCGCACAGTTCCAGGACCCGTGTGAAACCGCAAGGTCAACCATCATAGCCCCTACTGTACCATAAACCCTACTTCATGTACTAGACTCCTATAGAGTCTAGACCCTAAACCCCATAATTTATAGTAGGAATAGTAGTAATCGTAACAATAGTAGCCTTGACAGATCAACACATGAGTACGATGCTCTCGAAATGACCTTGTCGCAAGATACTGTCGCCCACACGCTATTCCACAGCAAACCCAGAACCCTTAAGCCTAAACCGACTCCCTCATCCCGAAACCCTATAATCCCTACTTGGAGGTTCATGGCTAGTTATAAGGGGGGTGATATTTAGGGTAACTATGGTTATAACCCCTGTTAGGGGACTCCTGTGTAAAGCCGCAACTCCCCTCTGAGGCCGTGGTGCACCGGAAGGCAACGAAGATGACTCGAAACTCCACCTTTGGCAGGCCCATCTACCACGAATCTCGGCCTTTTGGGTGCCTACAATGAGGGTTCAGTGCTTAGGGTCTGCCTAAGGTTGAGTGGATGTGGGGGTTTATACCACGATGCTGGGCCTCTACTGCTGGTATGTCTAGGTTGCAGAGGGTTGGAATTCGATCTGGGGACTCAAATATTAAGGCTTTTGGGCCCAAAGACCATACTATATAAGCCTTTTGGGCTGTTTTGATCCCTAGGGTTTGTCGATGTTCGCTTTCCTAGGTTCTAAGGTTTTGGTCAGACGAGGCGTTAAGCTTCTGGTTGAGCGCTGAGGGGTTACTTGGTCCTTCGTTGAGAAGTGTTGTGTACGGAGTTTCAGGTTCATTTCTTTCAAGTTATTCGTGTTTATAGTGTTTGAAGCACTCCTTGAATTGCAAGCTTACTTCTAGGGCTTAATTAGGGTGTACTGGCAATGCTGACCCGACGCGTGCTGAGCAAGACCTTAGCAGTAGCTCCAATATGCTTTAATTCAGAGCATACCTTAAATCATATTAGTAATTTAAGGTATATTCCTGAAATAAGGGTTATTGGAGTCTCTGCCGCCGGAGCAGCCCAGGACAAGAGTTTCATCATACAGGTCTGTACCAACGAGCTCAGCTTCTTGCCATTGATTACCAGCTGCTTGTGACACACAGCTTATCCAAAGCTGCACCCACCTACCATGTTCAGAGTCTTATCCCAGAAATGAGGGATGATAACGCGAAAAGCCTATGCAACCATAAACCCAATTAGACAAAAACAACAAAAGGCCTGTGAAGCTCAACACAAACTCTATTACAAACTCGCGTAACAGAATGCCCGGATGTAACGCACCCATGGACCTGCAGGCTTCATGTCCTTCGTAGGGGTTTAAGGTTTACAAGCTTTAGGGTTTCAGAGGTTGGGGGTTTGGGTTTAGGGCTTAGAGGTTTAGAGCTTTAAGGGCTTAGGCGTTAAGGAGCTACAGTTTAGGTGTTTAGGGGTTTAGCTTAGAGACTTTGGGGCTTAGAGGTTTAGGGGTTCCGGCGCTAGTGCTTGGGGCTTGGGGTTCAGGGCTGAGTGGTCTGGCGAGGTGTAGGAGCTTAGGAGTTGGTTTGGAGTTTAGAGACTGCAAGCAAGTATTTCATCTTGAACTACTGTTGATGATATAAATCCTGCATTACTCTAAGGACCCTAAACTATGGGAATTATGGCATATTCCTTATTATGGGTAATGCAGGATTTATATCATCAACCGTATTTCTTCAGTTACAAAGGCGTCATTCATTGGATTGATGGTATATTCGTCAAGACATTGGCGGCGGTCTGCGCATCCCTGGATCCGAAAGCTTTTTAGTATATGGGAGTTTCCGAGAATAGGGGACCCTAATATAGCACCCTAAATAGTAGGATCCTTGTCATAAGGACCCCCAATAAGGTACCCCTTATTTTCGGAAACTCCCATATAACCCTTCTACTATGAGACTGCCTCGTATTTGTTATAGCCCGTATAGTCAAAAGCCTTTAGTGACACCTGCACAGAGCCCTATAAACACTTCTTATACCGAAGCCTGAAAAAATTGCGCACAACGTCCCTTAGGGTCCCTCACCATAAACATACGATAATGTACTTCAGAACCGTGTTCTCATGTTTCAGTCCCCTCTGTGAAACCTCCACAGCCTGGCTGTCTTGAGTTGGCGGCCGAACTACGGGTCTTCAGAGCGCTGGATGGCCACGTAGGGTATGCTACGGTCAGCATTTTTGGCATTGGTGGTTTTGCTCGGAATTCTCGGGTTCTGTCTGTGTTTTCATGTTTTCGAGTTTGGCAGGAGACCCTGAACGCCAAGCCTTAAAACCTAAATCCTCTCAACCCTACTGCGGACCGAGGTATTGGACTGAACCCCGAGAGCATGTACTTCTACCAGCGCATGCGGGAGCGTCTGAAGGAAGAGAATGTGCGAGGGGGCATGACTCTCTCTCAGGATTTGCATCAGTGAGTGTATGCAAACCTCAACTCGAAGCCCTAAACCTCTGAAACCTAAACCTGAAACGTCAATCCCCAGGGCCCTGAAGACCTAAACACCTAAAATCTTGACCTGCTTTGCTTCGGCGAAGTGGAGAAAGAGTCATTGCACTTTAAAAAAAAATCTTGATTCCACAAGCTATACAAAGCCCTCTAAGACCGCAAAGCCTTGGCGAAAGCTCCAACACGTCCAAAAACGCTTAACGCCCAACGCTTTAGGATTTAGGGTTCAGCGTTTAAGGTTGATGGTTTAGTGTTTCCGGTGTGGTTTTTATGGCTTAGGGTTATCAGTTATAGCGTTCAGGGTCTAGGGGGTCAGGGTTTAGTCAAAAATGTTTTGTGTCCAGGGTTTACGGTACAGCATTGAGTTCAAAGTTAAAGCATCAAAATCCCGAACAGCTTGAACGAAGCTCAAGGAAGCCTGTGGCCACCGTTGCGGGGTCCCTCGCAGAGTCTATCGAGCAGGAGGACGAAAGGAAGCGCAAGGCCGTTTCCATACGACGCATCTCGGAGGTTTGACCTGTTGTCCGTTCTTTCTGCTTGAGGGTTTAGCTTTTTAGGGTTTCGTCCTTTAGTGGATCGTGATTTTGGTGTAAGGATGTGTAAGGTATAGGATGTATGTAACCAGGATACAACGATTAGCAGTACTGTGCTGGGAGTAGGGTGCTCGTGGTGTAGGGTTAAACTCGTTCGAATCGGCCACTTTGCGGGTCTTCACAAGGGTCTGATGCGGGGTTACTTGGAGGTTCATGGGTAGCTTTAAATCGGGTTATAAGTCCCCTAATGGGGTTTATAACAGTAGTTGCCCTAATTATAGCCCCACTTCTAACTACCCATGAACCTCCAAGTAGACCCGCGACGAGGCTCGTCTTAAAGATGCTCACCCTAAACTCGAAACCCTAAACCAGGCCCCAGAACTGACCCCTAAAGCCAACATCCCTAAATCCTAAACCCTAAATTCCCAACACCCCAAAACCTTGAAACCCTAAACCCTAAAACCCTAAGCCCTAAACTCTAAACCCTAAGTCCCTAAAAGCCGAAAGCCCTAAGCCCTAAATTCTAAGCCCTATATCCCTAAAAGCCTAAAACCCTAAGCCCTAAACTCTAAGCCCTACTAGTAAAACCTTCAAAGCCTAAAACACTAAAAACTGGCGGGCTGGCTGAGGCACGGTTTAGGGTTTAGGGTTCAGGGTTTAGGGTTTAGGGTATAGGGCTGGCGGGCTGGCTGAGGCATGGGCACCGACCAGGGCCTCGGATCTGGCAGCGGGAGCTGAGAAAAGTGGGGGAGCGCTGCCGTGGATGATCTAAACCCTAGGGTTCCTTTAAAGGGATCTATAAGGGTACCTTTAAGGGGCTCCTTAAGGGATCTATAGGGGGTTTAGGGTTAAGGGTTTAGGGCTGATGATTTAAATCCTGCAGTACCTTAAGGACCCTAAACTATAGGAATTATGGTGTATTCCTTATTGTGGATAATGCAGGATTTATATTATCAGCTGTAGGACTTGGAGTTCATTTTTTCCAGGGTTCTACGGTTGATGATCTAAACCCTTCCTTTAAAGGGATCTATAAGGGTACCTTTAAGGGATCTATAGGGTCTCTACAGGGTTTAGGGTTTTGTAGGGTTGGTGATATAAACCCTGCTTGACCCATAAGAAGGAATATACCAGAATTCCCATAGTTTAGGGTCCTTAAGGTAATGCAGGATTCATATCATCAACCCTAAACCCTTAACCCTAAACCCCCTATAGATCCCTTAAGGAGCCCCTTAAAGGTACCCTTATAGATCCCTTTAAAGGAACCTAGGATTTATATCATCAACCGTAGGACTTGGAGTTCTTTCCAGAGTGCCACCAGGCGCTATAGGGTTTTAATATATAGGGGCCTCAATAGCTACTAATACCATTTTAGGGTTCCTAGAAGTATAATATATATATATAATCAATATACCCCAAAGCCCTGTTCTAATGATTAACGCTCTACAGTATAGGGTTGCTAGGGTTTTTAAATTGTGGGGGATTCCGGGAGGGCTCTATGAGGCTGTCTAAGGCTTCTCCCTGCCTAGGGATTTCGAGTTTGGGAGCGTAGGGGCTTAGTAGCCCTAGCAAACAGAAGCCAGCAGCTCGTGAGAAAGCCGTAAGTAAAGCCTTAAGACCCGTATGAGCATCCTTCTAGAAACTCGAAAACAAGCCACTGCAACACCTCATGAAGTATTTACAGGATATGTTCGCGGAGTTGATGAGTCTTCTTTGTTAAAGGGGCATTCTCAGAAGGCCCTTGGGAAACCGAGATCTGAAACGTAAACCCCAGAACTCCCCCAAAAAAACCAAAATAAATCCCAATATATCCTTGGCCGCAAGAACCATGAAGACTAAGCCCTTATTACATAAGAAAATTATGGTAGGCAGCCCTAAAAAGATATGTTACATAAGGTTCAGTTAAACCCTAGACCCCTAAATCCCAGACGGCCAAGCTCCAAACCGTAAAGCCCTTGGGGTTTAGGGCTTTAGGGAATTCAGGGGGTTTACCGGGTCAGTGGGTTTAGGGGGTAAGGGTATAGGGTTGAGGGTTTAGTGGCCTCTTTTCGTCTGCAGGTGCTGGCTGAGGCCCCTGTGCGGACTTCCCAGGACGGAAGCAGCCATCGCTTGAAAATCGCAAAAACAAAGACCTCTTCTTCGGTTTAGGGGTCGAGGAGCTTTAGGGGTTTTAGGAGCTTTAGGGGTTTTAGGGGCTTCAGGAGCTTTAGGGGTTAAGGTTCAGGGTTTGGGGGGGGTTTAGGTGTTAAGGTTGAGGGTTTAGCGGGGTTTAGGGGTTAAGGTTTAGGGTTTAGGGGGGTTTAGGGGTTTTGGGGATCAGCTAGTGGATGGTTTTCTGGATGGGTTCCGAAATCTAGGGTTTAGGGCTGAGGGTACGTAGACTCGTAGCACCTCTTGGCGAGAGTACCCTGGACCCAGCTCCAAAGAAATTCTACCTGGAACCTGGGTTGCAGTACTTTTTCTCAGCAGGCGGAAGACTTAAACAAAAGACTTCCCAGCCCCCTTAATGTAGCGGCTGGAAGAATTGGGAGTATGATTCCTTCTGGTGTGTGTTAATTTCTATGTAGACACAGATATATATATATATATCTACAAAACTACAGACACATACCTATGGGTATGCAGAAATGTATTTGTGTGGGCGTTGTTTGTATTTTGCTTCGTTTACCGCACAAAGCCGTGCTTCGACCGCTCTATGCAATGTGTTACAAGGAAGATGTCGGGGTTTAGAGCTTCAAGGCTGTAGGTGTTCGGGGTTGAGGGCTTTGCAATCTCTTCAACGGCACTGATGCAATGCACATACTGGAACAGAAGGTGCTGAGCAGTTCTTCGTTGGATTGTCATTTTGTCAACGGAGGTGTATGCAAAATCTTTAGTGATCGTTATCAGTATTGGGTTTTCTGCTAATTCCCACAGTGGCACCGTCACGTGTTTTGGGGCGGTCTCCTCATTAAGATGTCAGAAAGAGGGTGCCCTTGTTATCAGGCGGTTGCTGTGGAACTTAGTCCAGTCCAAAACCCTAGAGTCTAAACCACAAGCCTAAATTTGGTTCTTCAGTGGATGCATGTGGATGCTGTTTCTGCGGCGTGTTTTTGGCACAAAGCTGCTGGAATCGGCCTGCACAGCTGCGAAAGCCTTCTGAGAAGAAGATCCTGCAGAGGCACCAAGCCGGAGTTTAGGGTTTTTTTGGGTTTAGATGCCCTGCGCAACAAGCTCGCCACACACATACATACATAATTACATACATACAGACATACATGCATACATACATATATATATATATATATATCCACGGAGCATGGGCGACAACTGCCCGCTCCATTTGGGAGAAGTCCATGAAGACAAAAGGTCCCAGGAGCCATAGACCAACCAATGTGTGCATGCTCATAAGGATGCCGATGTTCTATTCCCAAGCCCCTAACGGTGGTGGGTTTGGGGGTCGAGGGTCGGAAATCTTGGGTTCGTGTGCAGGATTTCGGGTTTGAGGTTCAGGATACAGGGTTCTGGGTCTGGGGTTGGGGTGTCGACTTTGGCTTGCTCCCGATCCCAGATTCCTTGGAGTTCAGGGTTGAGGGTTTTGACCTTCCAAGATGTGGTTGGGTGTCCCGATTAATCTGACTTGTGCAGCACAGGGGCATCGGTAGCTAGCATTTGCCATCAAACTGATATTTTTCTGCACATGTCACTGTATAGAAAGAAGTTAACCCGTGTTCAGCCTCCTGGGTTACCGGCTTTAAAATTATGACATTATGGTTTTCCAACATGCTTGAACTTTCGGGCACAGTTTTGCGTTCAAACGTCTAAGAGTCTAAAAGTTGGATTCTACTTAAGGCAATTATCGCACATCATTAAGCCTTCAAAGCCGTATAGGACGCCAAATGACAGCTTTACAAAGCACCTATCAAGAATGAATTTCCGCGGAAACCCAAACCCTAAATCCTGAGGAGCTGCGAGCCATGGCGAGTGGCTCCGCATCTTGGCAAGCATCATGTCAGTCAGGTTACTATAAGGGCTTGAACAATAATTAGGATAGGGTCCCTTTAAAAGGGATCCTCAAAGGGGTCGATAAGGGCTACTATAAGGGTACTATGATACAGGGGCCAAAATAATTGCCGATACATTTTGGCTTTTGCAAATGCCGCGCGTTTACAGGATCATACAAAGGCTAGCCCAGCTTTTTCTTGCAGGCGCTTTGCGGAGCTTTTCCTGCATGGCTGGACAAACATGAAACCCGGAACACCTTTAACTAAGGATCGCCGGTTTTGTCGTGGCCTTTCAGGGGAGGCCTTAAAATTTCGAGGCACGAATTCACTGCATGATTTTTGGGATGCGCCGCGAATAGTGGCACGACGATCCGACCACAAGATACATTTTGGGGGGTCCCTTATCATAGTTATAGTATAATGGGACCCAAAAACGCCCAAAACCCAATTCTAAGTAAGGCACCCATATTATGTACCTCTTTTCAGTGTGTCTTCTTGTGGCTCCCTTACACTGCGGCTCACATAAGGATCTACGGCCCTTTTTCATCAAAAGTCCCCCTTTTTATCCTCTCGATGTTTGACTCACGTAATTGTCGATTCCTTTTCTGTGAAGAGGTTGGATTGCGACCTTTCGTCTTAAAGTTACTAAAGGGATAAACAGATGACTCTTGCGCTTGCAGGCATGCCAGGACGAGCGCCCTTCGCGTCAGCCGAGCGACATAAGCTTGCCGTCAAGGTTGGACGCGCGTCTCCCGCGGCAGTTTTCCAACCTGTCACATGGCTTGACTGTTACTAAGTTCTGTTGGATTTAGGGTTTAGGGTTTGGATGGGTGTGATGTTTTCCTGCGAAGTTCGGGGCGAAAGGTCAAGTTAATAGATATATCCTAGGCTTAGGTCCTTGGTCCTTGGGTGTCGAATCCCCGCAGCCCTATAATGTAGGTGTCGGAAAAAGGACTAAGCCGTAATGAAGTCCCCTTACAGTCCCTATGACGGTTGGAGTTAGAATGTCAATGGGACCGACCCATCACCCAATTCCGCAACCACGAAGGCCCCTTGTACCATAGCACCCTTCTACGGTTGATGATATAAATCCTGCATTACCCATAATAAGGAATATACCATAATTCCCATAGTTCAGGGTCCTTAAGGTAATGCAGGATTTATATCATCAACCGTAGCACCCTCTAAAGAACCGTTTTGATTCTTAAGGCCTCTCTATTGCCCTAAGCTCTGAGAGTCTTGGGCGAAATGCCCAGGTCGGCGGCAGAAGCAATCAGGGCAAGCTACAACTCCATCCTTTCAGCTGTGAGGCTGGCTGCACTGCGTAATGTAGGGCCCTTCAATAACCAGAATAGGGACACTAGAACTACGATAAGGAGCCCCCAAGTGTATAAGTAATTATGAAGGCCCCTGCATGGAGTCCCCATCCAGGAAGGCACGTTTTCCGCAAGGCGTAGACTGGCTGTCGTTCACTGTCTAAGCTTCCCAGTGGGCCCTTCTTCCCTTTTTGTAGTCCTAAGTTCCTTATGTCATTACACAATACCAAAAAGGGAGCCCTTTTTATTCCTAGGTTATTGAGCATCCTAGCTGTATGTACTGTATACTATACCATGTCGCCGATTTAGCTCGTAAAGCTTGTGCAGACAAGCACCAATGCAAGCTCGCGTGTGTATATGATGTATCTATGTATCTGTCTGTTTATCTACCTACCTACCTACATGATTCATGGGCGCGTCTGCGTGTATCTCCACATACACATATGTATATGCATATGCACAGAATACACATAGCTGCTATTCTCTATTTGATGCTGCTGTTGCATACGATGATTTTGTATGTATGTGCACATTACATTATGCGGAACGATCCGTATAATTGTGTGTGTGTATGTAAACATACATATGTATGTATGTATATATATACATATGTAATATGCTCTATATATATATATGTGTGTGTATACACATATGTATATGTATGCGACATATATATATATATACGTGCAGTTAGACATACATACATATATATATATATACACATATGTATATGTATGCGACATATATATATATATATATATATATATATACATACATACATACATATACATATACATACACATATATATATATATAGATAGATATACAGATATATACATGTATGAACATATGTGTATATATTTATATATACATGTATATGTATATATATATATATATATATATTCACATCTGTTTGTTCATGTATATACATATGTGCCCGCACTCATGTGTGAATTTTTATACAACTACGACAGTCGATACATATACATATCATATGTGTGTATGTGTATATATATATATATGCATATATCTATATATACAGGCACACATCTAAGTTAGTCGTTGACGGGTCTGTTGAACTTTCTATATAGTTTTTAATGTGACAAGTCTGTCAGGATGAGTCATTTGCTCAGCGCGATCGAGTCAGCGAAGGCAGAGAAGGTCGGAGCGGCGGCTTTCAGCGCACCTTGGAAGGCGCGCGGAAAGCACAAGCTACTGCAGGTGAGGGATGTAAGGGGCTTTAGGGTTTAGGGTATGCTATACTCTAACTAGAATAAGGAATCCCCAAAACCCTGTTCGAATTATTAAGGCCTCAAGAGGAAGGGATGTAAGATGTCCTCTGTTGGCGTCTTCGTGTTGTCTCTGTAAAGATCGTCACTTGCAAGTCGGTGGGCTCTTATGCTGAATTTTAATGCTTATAGAGTTTGCAAAGCCTAGACGACATGCGACCAGGCGCTGTTGCTTCTCACCGTGCCGGTTTCGGGTGCTCTTACTGGCTTCGGGGTCCAGCTGGCTACATCCCGAGGCAGCTTTTCGCTGAAGCTCGGATTGAAAAATTGTCGGAATTTGCCTATTGTCCTACTAACTGAACACAAACTTAAATACATCTACACAGATCGCAATAAGAGTAGCGCGGATAGCTAAGACGAGGTACCTGCCGTTGGTTCTGGCCGGACTGATTCTGCTCTTTGGCCTGGCAGCACGCCTTCTGCTGCTCGGGATGAGAAGCAAACGGTTTAGGGTTTAGGGTTTAGGGCAAACCCTTCCGAATAGGACCACGAAACGCTGAGGGTATGGATAAGGAAAAGACTTTTGAGCGTGTGGTCGTTGAAGCTCGAATCCTCACAACTTAGTATCCCCTAAACCCTAAATGCCCTAAATCAGGTGGTTCCATGGCTTCGAGGAGTTCCGGCAGCTATCCTCCAGAAGATACTAGGTTCCCCAGAGTTATTCCCTTTTGCCTTTCTTCTTGGGTTCAACCCTAAACCCGAAATTTTAGAGATTTGAATGTTTCTTAATTAGGGAAAAATTCCTTAAATCATAGTATTAGGGATCCTGCAAGAACTTAAGGAAAAGTCCTATTAATTAAGGGATATTGGAGTCTCTGGGACCCTAAATGCCCTAAACCTTAAACCCTAAACGCTAAAGTCCCTAAACCCAAAACACGAAACCCTAAACCCCAACTGTTGTGGGGTTACTGCAAAGCTAGGATATCTTTGCTGCTTCCTGCCCGGCCTCATCGGTGGAGCCAAGAGCCTTGGCTACGGGTTGAGGGGTTTAGGGTTAGGGTTTCGAGTTTGGGGTTAAGGGTTTAGAATTTGGGCTTTACAGTTTGGGGTTTAGGGTTCGGGTTTGGAGATTCGAGTTTGGGATTCAGGGTGTAGGGTTTAGGGTTAAACGCCAAAAGATCTAGACTGTAATCACAGAAAATATGCGTATCTTTCAGCTTTTTGTCCGATGCCTGCGGAGTTTCGTGCAGCAGGCAGGTCTGGCCTTCTGGATATAATTGGGGTTCTGGGGTTTAATTTGTTGATTTTGGAGGCACCGTTTTGGGGGTTTCGGATTCATTCGGGGTTTGGGAATTGGGATCAGTCATCTGCATGAGGCCAGTGCAATGCTTTTGACAGGTTTACGCTGGAGCTTGTCACTATGTGTTCCCAAAGCCCTGCAGGTACAGCTTACAGAACCTGACGGTGTCCATGATGAGCTCGTCGCTGTTCCTTGGCCTTGCTTGAATGTAATGCTGAGAGTTTGCCAGACAGAACGGATCAAGAACTGTTGCTGTAAAGAGGCACAACGAGCAGGCATGCTTTCAAGCCCTCAAAAGTCTACGATCAGCCTCTGTCAACACATAAACACCCAAGAACAGCGAAACACTTTTTACCTCCCGACAGGCACATGCCTCACAAAGCCCCCAAGCACGCTCAGTTTTGTCATCCATTCACGGTTTAGGGTTTAGGGTTTAGGGTTTAGGGGTTTAGGGTTTAGGGTTTAGGAACCCTTTCGAGAGCCCTAAAGGGCCCCCAAAACAGCTCCAGGTTTTTCATCATCATGCGGACTACGCTCATCTGGGTGGCGGTATTCGAGGAGACAACTAAACACCCTGAAATATGGTATGGAATTGGTTTTCTAGCATAAAGAACCTTGCGTGGCCGCGTTTATGAGAATAAAGCTCTCTAAATAATTCAATTACCGAACACTTCTTCTGGCGGTTCTAGAATATCAGACTCGATGATCTCTAGATCTGCGAGGTACCAGTGATTACAGCCCTAAGCCCTAAACCCTTCGAAAAAGAGAGTTTCGGTGGCTTTCCTGGGAAAGTTATACTTTTTGGGGGGGTCCGCGTTTCGGGAACCTTGCCTCAAAGAAGTTAGGGACAAACACCCATATAGAGTTTAGGGTTTTCAGGGGTCACAGACCGGCCTTTTGGGCTAAGGCCCCTCCTCGCCTCCTTATCTGCCGGAACTCCCTGAGAACCGAGGGCTTAAGGTTAGAGGTTGTAACTGCTTAGGGTTTAGGGTTACGGTTCAGAGTTTATCATCTTAGGGTTTATGGTTTGGAGTTTAGAGGTGCCCAAGTGTAGTCCTTTCAGGTTCCAGGCCCCTCTGACCGCTACAGTTTGTCGCCTAGTGGCCGGACGTGCATCAAGTCGATGCACACCAGAAACGCAAGCATGTGTATTCACGTATGCAGCTGCAATGTCTGTGTTTACACTTCGCACGTTTGTGAGCATAGCTGGTTAGATCGAAAGATACAGCTTTCTGCTCGACAGGCCTTGATGCTGCGCCGTCTTCCTGACAAGCTGCAAGCCGTTACGCTGCTTGCCGTGCTTCTTTCGTGCATCAGCTCGACGGTGCAACTGGCTGGCACGCATCTAGGATCCAGGGTTCAGGGCGCAGGCTTCAGCGTTTAGTGTCTAGGGTTCCGGGTGGAGGGTTGTATAGAGCCTGTTCACATACGCCGGTCTTGCCACATCAGTTCTTAGACGGTCCAAACTCACAGCGAACTTCCGAGCCCCCGAGCCCTTTGGATTCAGCTCAGGCAGGCTCTGGAGGAAGCCGAAGACGGTACAATGACAGTTTCGGCCCTTGCCGTTCTGCTTGCCGCAGCCTGTGCGCTCGCGGATGCTGTGCTCCTCAGACTCGTCTTGCTACGTTGCCCTGGCAGCCCTGCCACCTAATATAGGGCTCTGTTGTGTGACTGAAATACGGATTTGAGGTGGAGTATGTTCATTATACTACAAGCTTCCATAATGCATACTGGGCTGCCAGGATGCTGTGCTATTGTTTTCGAGCTTAAGGCTTGGACTTTTTTCGGAGTTCAAGATGTTTATGGAAAGAGTGTGTGGCATAGTTTCTTGATTATACCTTGACCTCCCAAAACCTACTTTTTTGTAGGGTCCCTATATTTCCATATTAGGGTATATAATAAGAACCTACAAAAAAGTAGGGTTTGGTAGTTTAAGGTAGTATCATGGGCCCCAACATCCTGTTCTAGTCATTAAGGCCCCTATAGCAGTGGCTAATATACTTGTACTCCCAAGACCCTGTCGAGCTATTAACGCCCCTGGCATTACTCATTGGGTTTCACTGCAACAGGATGACTGGTAAGCTTCAATATAAACTCCACGACCCCAAACCGCCCACAAAGTTTTCAGGTCTAAACACAACCCTGGATGCTCAACACAACCCGATACCCTCAACAGCAACCCCAAAAGCGGTGCTGGCGTTTCAGGGTTGAAAACGGTTCTACGGTTGATGATAGAAATCCTGCATTACCCATAATAAGGAATATACCATAATTCCCATAGCTTCGGGTCCTTCAGGTAATGCAGGATTTATATCATCAACCGTAGAACCCTCATAGAACACCATGTTGAACTTATTGCAGTATACAACCATTCTAGAAGAAATGTTCGAGCCTTACTACTGCACCATAGAACCCTCCGTGCGCTTGACATACAAACTCATTGAAAACCCGAGCAGAAGAGCGCATAAACCCCTAGAAAGCCTTCATATGTCTTATGAACCAACTCTAGCCTCTAGAATAACGCCATACTCAACTAGCTTCTGAACCCTGTAGAGAAGCCTAGAAGGCCATTCGGTTAAAGAACGAACCCTTAACTCTGAATGCTTTCCTAATACCCTACACCTCAAACCTAAAACCCTTACGCCTCAAACCCTTTAACCCTGAGGTCTCCTGAGGACCTGATGACGTAAACCCTCAGCCCTTAAAACTCTGCCTAGACCCCAACAGAATGTGGAATAATACGGTTTAGGGTTTAGGGTTTAGGGGAATAATAGCCTTGCGTAGGTGTTGGGTCATTGCTTTACATACTTTGGTGGGCTTAGGTAAACCCACATGCTCCTGATCCCAGGTTCGACACTTGCACGGACCTCCTTGGCCGAAAGTTCTCGGCGGGGCTGAGCGGAAAGGAGAAAGGTGCAGAGCTATGCCGCATAATGGTGGCTGGGCTGCTTTAGGTTTGGAGAGTGTAGGTCTTCTAGATTAGAGTTTCCAGTTTTCGGGGTTTAGGGTTTCGGGGTGGCTGTGCTGCCTTAAACTGAGACTAGGCCATGGGGGCTTTGGTAGGAGGTTCGCTGTTCCCAGCTTGCTACGCCCAGTGTCTGATGAGCTGTGACCGGAGGGATCCATGCACTGGTTTATGGGTTTAGGGTTTAGGGGTTTATGGGTTTAGGGTTTAGGGTTTAGGGGTTTAGGGGTTTAGGGTACTGGTTTAGGGCTTAGGGCCTAAGCCCTAAGCCCATGTCAACGTAGGATATACTTTGGCCGTAAAGTAGTCCTTATCCTATTGCCTGTAAACTCAACTTTTCAACTTTTGGGGTTCTTCATGAGGTAGTCGATTCTGAAAGTTTCAACTTATATTCCCTTGGGTTTTGGGCCAGTGAGTTATACAGTAAACCCCATAAAGTTGGAAGCTGGATTAAGGCCAAATAGTGCTGGGATTCCCTACACATTACTCTTAAGGATGGAGGCTCTGGGGTTTCCAACTTTTGGACTTCTACTGTAATCCCTACCCTAAACCCTAAACGCTTATGGTACCTTATAGATTCCTTAAAGGAGTCCTTATAGATTCCTTAAAGGAGCCATTATAGATCCCTTAAAGGAGTCTACTCTATGGTTTGTACTACATCGCAGCACGTACGAGAGGCCGAAGTTGCAAAGTCAAGTTCAGGGTTTAGGGTTTAGGTGATTTAGGGCTTAGGGGGGTTTAGGGTTTATAGGGGGTTCAGGGTTTGGGGTATTGGGGATTTAGGGTTTAGGGGGATTTAGGGTTTAGGGGGTTCAGGGTTTGGGGTATTGGGGATTTAGGGAGTAGGGGGTTTAGGATTTAGGGCACCGTCACCGAAGGAATCAGCAGCACAAAGCTTGAAGTTTGCTCAGAGACCACAGCGCAGGACGCTTTGCTAGTTTCCTCGAGGTTTCCGAACTTCCACAGAATATCTTTTCAGTGCTTGCCAGTTGGGAACCTTCACATGTTTAGGGTCTACGTGGTGACTCATGTAGTCCATGGAGCCATCCTCTGTGTTCACGTGACCTCTACATAGACCTTCGCTAGCGCAGGATCCTCAGTATAAGGGTTAGTAAAAAGAAGCACACATAAACCCACTGCAAAAGAACAAACTGCCCAATCCACCCTGTAAGACCCCTCCACAAAGCGTTAACAGCTCAATGAAGCCCGATACCGAGCCACACATGAAACCCTTCCAAACCTATCGCCGCTGCGGTTTGGAGGTCATGCCACGGAAATTGTTCTGCAACACCAAACCCCGAAGTGTATTCTTTAGGGACCCAAAAAGCACATAAGCATAAGCAGTTTATGGGGATATTCCTGCCGTATTGGCCTTCCTTTTAAGGGAGTTTACATGGGATATCCCTACACTTAGTTTTTCTTATGTGCTTTTTTGGGGACGTAACGAACCCCGAAGTGCCCTGCAGGGTTTAGGGTCTAGGGGTTAAGCCCTGTAAAAAAATCTCAGATAATTACCAATACTATTTTGGAGGGTTCCCTCTTATAAGTAAAGTATAATGGGCCCCAAAACCCTATTCTAATTGTTTTCATGAAACTACATCGAAAGGGATGTGGATGTGTCACACGGCACCGTCGGACATGTTCACTTGCAAGTGCTTGCCTATTCTAACTATGAAGGCTCTCCTATATTGGAACCCCTTCGTAAACCTTGCAGAAGCCTTCTTTGCAAGCCCCACAGGTGGCCCTGCAATTCTTCCGGCTGCCACCCTATGCCTGCATGCTTGCATCTCGGGAGTGGAACAAATAGCACCAAAAATGCAAATAGTCACAAACGTAATCATAGCTTAAAACTCATAGTATTTCCAGTAATGCTAAAGGTAGTGGTAGTAGTAGTAGTAGTAGTAGTAGTAGTAGTAGTAGTAGTAGTAGTAGTAGTAGTAGTAGTAGTAGTAGTAGTGGTAGTGGTAGTAGTAGTAGTAGTAGTAGTAGTAGTAGTAGTAGTAGTAGTAATAGTAGTAGTAGTAGTAGTAGCAGCAGCAGCAGCAGGAGTAGTAGTAGTAGTAGTAGTCATGATCATATTTCTACTACTTCCAAAGATACTAGCATTACCACTGGTGACAATCACCAAGAATACTGAAATAATCATAGTAACAGTAGTTTGTTCGTTCCAAGGCTTCAGGGATTGGATATCGGAGGTTCGGGTTCGGAGGAGGATAGTGGGTTTCAGGTTGACCGGCTTGGGTTTTGTGGGTTTAGGGTGTAGGAATTAGAGTGTTGGGGTTGACAAGTTAGGAATTACAGCGTTAGGGCTGAGGGTTTTGGATTGAGGGTGTTAGGGTTGAGGGTTTGGGATTTAGGGTGTTAGGGTTGAGGGTTTGGAACCAAGGTTTAGGAACCAAGGTGTCTTTTGGATTTAGGACGTTAGGGCTGAGGGTTTAGGAGCAAAGGCGTTATTCAAGACTCGGGAACGGTGATTCTGCAAACTAAGGACCTAGGACAAAACAACGTCACTGCACGCTGCGGTTTCCTTGTGCTTGACTTTTCTAAGCTTGTGAACATTGGGGCGGGATGCATTTCAAGCTTTCGGTCGTTTGGGGTTTGCAAGGATTCGGGGCCCAAGGTTTGGTCTCACGAATGTAGAGCTGCCGGAAAAGTCCTAATACAATACTACCCCTGTATACTACCGAATATCGCTTTGCACCACAAGAACCTATCAAGAATTTCTAATAATTAAGGTCCCTGTATTGGCTGCGTGCAACTCGCGCGACCCCTAGGCCACACTCGGAGCCCCTAACATACATAGTACATATTATAGGGGCTTGGAAATGGTGATCGTATTCCGACAGGCTTCAAATCTAGTACCGTCATGGTGAAATATGCCTTACCAGCCGAGTAAGGCCCCTATGGTTGGACCATATTGATCTAGAAAGCCCACCATCCTGAACACGAGCCTCACAAACAAGTAAGCCCAGTTGAATTGCAAACTTGACAGCTGAAGGCCTCCGAGCTTCGAACACGAATGGAGCTAAGAACGCTTCGGTTCTGGATTGACTGTTCAAGGTCCAATGGTTTCAGGTTGCATCTCAGGGGCTAGAGTTTGGGTTTTCTACTTCTGAGGTATGACACTGTAGCTGGTAAAGCTGAGCTCGCTAGACGTACCGACGAACGAAAGTACGTAGAAACACACACCCATAGCTGACAAGCCGACACTGACGACACCTCTTGGCAGGTGTGTCACTTCAACTTGATGTTAAATGTCTAGGGTTTAGGGTTCATGCATAGCCCTTCTTCAAGGTATGGTTTGACTGGGACGATGCCTTCGGCGGCTTCGATGTGACCACCTTCGCGTTGACAGTGCTGCCAGTAGTGCTAAAGATTCCAGTTTTTCAGGCCAGTGTATTCATGGTCGGTGCTGTGAAGACCAGCATGGCCGTTTCTTTTGAGATTGGTCTGTCATATTTGTTGGAGGTGGTCTTCAGCTTGGCAGACTTTGTCATGAGTAAAATGCTTGCCATGGCAACGTTGGCATGCGTTCTCATGATGTCGGCCTTGCACCACATACGCCTCCGAGAGGAAGTTGCTAGGCAGCAGGATGTAGCCCTGGATGAATTGAAAGTACAAGTCCGCGCTTCTGCACGTTCGCTGAGCCATCAGCCCTTAAGAAAGCCAGGAATGCAGCCAGTAGTCATGCAGCCGGTTTCCCAGGACGATGGAGCGGGCTTCTCGGTATAATATGGGGACCTAAATAACTACCAATACTAGTTTGGGGCTCCTTATTATCATGATAGTATAACGGACCCCAAAACCCCATTCTAATTATTAAGGCCCCGATATTAAGCCCAGAAGCCTGGTCCCAGAGATCGTCTTTGGCACCTCTTGTGACCCTGGCCTAGTCTTAGGGGTACTTAGGAATAATTTTTAAGTTTTGGTCATTGTAATCCCTAAGAAACAGCTAAAATTTTAATTTTTGCTAGGGTTCTAATTTCAGCCTAGTAGAGGACATGCTCAGAAGTTTTGCAACTGTAGACAGCACGATGCCCGAGCAGCAAGGATGCCCGAGCAGTCTCACGGTACAGTTTGTACCTGAGATGGTTCCGCTGTGGCGATGTTGGAACCCATTCGCACACTGGGTTATTTTTGTGTGAGTTGGAACTGTCCCGCATCTGCGCCTCTTGGCGTAAATGTAATGCAGGGGCCGTCACAATTAGAATAGGGTTTTGGTGCTTCCTGTTTATAACGGTTCTAGCTATTCAAGGCCTCTACAATAAATGCTTATGCGGGCCCATTAGCAGGCCCTGTGCACAGCTTGACGCTGCCATGGATACGGCTGTCTGGTCCTTAGTAGGGAATGGGGAATGGGTTATTGGGACTACTATAGGGGACCTTAAGGGGCTATCATAGGGATGCATCCCAACATTCCCGTCCAAGCACCAGACAGACGGTGGCTTTGAGCTGCAGTCGGACGTGCAGGTGAGGTGCAATCTGTCAGAATCGATCAGCCGAACAGAGCAGAAGCCTTAGCAGCCTAGCGGAACCCTAGGGTCTGAAGAGTACATGTTAGGCTTTAGGAACCGAGCCAGTAAGGCCCAAGGATTCGATGTGTGGAGGATTTCAATATCGCTGCAGACGGCGCGATGTATCGCAAACTGCGCTGGAAGTTCGGAGCTCACGGCATTTTGGGCGGAGGTTGCAATCTCAGAGTCGTTCTGAGAGCTCCTGGCACATTGTGCGGTAATCTGGGGGCATAGTAATTTGAAAAAACTTGATGGTATCACCTACTATACTTCCATGGGGAAGGAACGACGGCACTAGTTGTCCAGAACCCTGGCCTGGAGTATCAAGCATCAATGCAGACCCCTCAACCTACTGTCTGGCTGCTGGAAAGTTGATGCTACTGAGAGGCCGTCAGCCTGGAGCAATATACAGTTTAGGGTTTCGGGGTTATTGCGATGCGTCTTTGCCCTCTCTAAGACTATTCAGTTCGCTAATCCCCTTGCTAATACTTGCAGGATGTTGGTATAAGCTTGGACCTTGTGGGTGTTCGCCACGTGTCGGTGTGTTGTTAGATTCAAGGTCTTGCCTCCAGGATTCTTGAAGACCGTCTCGGTTGAGCTGCATTGATAGTCTTATCGTTTCATCGACTCGACATGTTTGTTACCCTTCGGAACCCACATTCGAAAGTCTTAAGTCTTCAACCGCACTCTACCCTGGAAAACCAAAGCCCTCAACCATCTTTTCAAGTGAAGAGATGAGGGTGCTGTTTCTGTTGAGATGGAGGCATATGTCTAGGCTCACCTTGCTGCTGTCGACTACTCGTGCAGAGCTGAGCTACCATGGATTGTTCTGCCATGTTTGTAATCTTGCGATCTACAAAACAGTCGTAACGTTAAGCTAGGTTACTTAAGCAAGGCATTGCAGCTCAGGGTCAACATTAAAAAAGAAACCTTCAAGAGCCGGGACTACCTCTGCACAGCTGCCGCACAGGCGTCCGCAAGTCGGTTGTGCGAACTGCAAGCAGTTTGCGAGAGAAGTCGCCGATGCCGTCGGGATTCTCTTTCGGAGAAGAATGGCCTCTGAAGACAAGGTTGTATAGGTCCCGTGAAAAAGCAGGCGTCATGCTGAATCATTCGGTGCTGGCCGCTGGCGACCTGCCGCCAAATTTCTCCTGCACGGTTGATGATACAAATCCTGCATTGTGGTATATTCCTCATTATGGGTCATGCAGGATATATATCATCAACCAGATCGACGGCTGTGAGGGCGGCCGTTGACGCATCCTTTCGACCCAGCTCTTTCCTCGGGGTACCAGCTTGTCCAAGAACGACCTAAACTTAGGGGTACTTAGAAATACTTCTTAATTTTTGGTTATTATAATCCCTAAGAAACAGCTAAAATTGTAATTGCTGCTAGGGTTCTAAGTTCAGTATCTAGGATGCCCGGTAGTACCCTTATTCCCTTTTTGCGGTCCTAGGATCCTTATAAAGTTACCCAACACCAAAAAGAGAGGCCTTTTTATTCTTAGGTTACTGGGTAACCTAGGTATAGTAAACCCTGGATTCCCTAGGCTCCTTAAGACAAGCCTCGGGAAGCCCCAGGCGTAAGCGAACACTGTCAAGATCGGAAGCCGCTCAACTAAAGCAGGGGCCTACATAACTATGAACAGTATGTGTATATATATATATATATATATTCACATATATACATATATAAATATATTTCTTCCTTGGTTCCTTAATGTCATCATACGAACCAGTTCGACTTGTTAAGACCTTCATATTGTGCGGACCTTTGGGGGAACGTTTGGGGCCCCATCCACAGCGTTCCGAACTGGAGCCTGAGATCCCTGAACCTGCTAGATTGTATAAGATACCCCAAAAACCCGACTAAGAATATGAAGGCCCCCCCTATTATGGTACCCTTATGGTATCCCTTAAAGGAACCCGTTAAAGGGAACCCTATTCTAATCAAAAAGGCCCCAAACCCGGCCTTCTTGGGCCCTCTTAGATAGTGAACGGGGGAACTTTAAACTTTTTGGCAGTGTATAGAAGCTCTATCTAAGAAAGTTTGAACTTTTTGGCGCCCGGTTGTTGAAGAAGAGGGCCTTGTATTACCCTTTTCTGTAGGGGCCTTCATAATTTTAACGCTACGCCGCCCGCCTCGGCTGTGTAGCGGCAGGGCGAGGGGGCAGTCGATGTTTTTTTATGCTAGGGCGGCCTGTCAAACCCCAACCTTTACACGGTTGTTGATACGAAGTGCGAGGAGAACGGGTAGGGGAGGGAGGGGGGGGGAGGGGGGGGGGGGGGGGGGGGGGGGGGGGAGGGGTGAAACACTGAATGTTACACATCCAGGTGCCTGTCTGTTTCACGTATCACTTGCATGTATCCATGCCTGTTGCTCAAGGTTCTAGTGCAGTGGACTACAGCTGTGCGCCTGTAGCAAAAGAGACACCTGAGTGCCTGTGTTCCTGTACGCCTAGCGAGGGGATACACGTCCAGGTTACATCTCAACGTGGTAGCGGAGCTCCCGGGAAACGGGAAGCTTCACACTTGTGGAGGTACCCGTTCGGTACTCTCTACACAGGTGGAGGCAACCGGAATACCCGGTGTGCTTCACTCAGGTGAAGGTGACCGGAGTCTCTCCGGCACACTTCACTCAGGTGAAGATAACCGGAAGAGGTTTCTCCCGGGGCTCGATCCAAGAACAGCGCAATGGCTAGCCACTCTGCGACTATCTTTGAGCATGAAGGAGGAGATGATGACTACCTCCTCCACGGAAATGAATCTTTCGCGACTAATCATCGTCATCTCAATGAATTACACCGTCTTTCAGCTTTCCAGCAGGTGACCACCAAAGTACCTCCATCTTATGATGGTAGAAGCAGTTGGTTTGCCTATGAAGATGCGATCGATGACTGGTGTGACATTACTGAGCTAGACAATGATAAGCGTGGACCAGCTTTGAGAAATCGGCTAGAAGGTGAAGCAGCAATCCACAAGAGACTTCTCGACAGAGATCGCCTGAAGGACCCGAACAACGGAGTGAAGTACTTCAAGAGTTTCCTGCGGCCGCTTTTCGTGAAGGGAGCAGCGAATGTTTTTCTCTATCGCTTCCAGCAGTTCATGAACATGCACCGTGGGAACGGAGACATGCTTCGTTGGATTACCAGGTTTCAACTCTCTGTTCAGAGAATGCAAGAAGCGTGGAACGATACCTATCTGCCGATCGAGGACCCGAACAATGCAGAGGTCAGAGCTTTCATAGTAGGACTTCCTCCAGAAGAACAAGAAAACCTTACGCCAGCTCAGGCAATGGAGAGAGCCAACGAACGGCTCAGAGAGCAGCATGCTCGGACCATTCCGATCACGCCCAACCTGGTCGCTTTGATCTTTGTGTCCCTGTCTGATCTGACACAGGATCAGCGTCAGGTGTTGACATCACTGATGGCGCATCGGAACCGAGTCCTGGCTGACTACAACACGGCCGAGCTTCGCGAAGTCTACCTGGAGATCTTCTGTACGACCAAGACTACCGTCGACAATCCACTCCTCGCTCCTTCCGGCCACGGTGGCCGCAAGACCTTCCTTGTGATCGATGAAGGATATTTGAACGATCATGAAGGCTACTGGGTCGAGGACGAGGAAGATGGCACCGAAGGTTTCCTCGAAGCGGATGAGGACGCCTTCTGGGTCTACGACGACGAGAACTATTCATGGTTCCAGCGGCGCTTCCAAGGCCGCAAGATGAGGCGCGGATTCAAGGGCCACCGTAAAGGCAAAGGAAAAGGTGGCAAAGGATCCAAAGGAAGGCGCTTCTTCAAAAGGAAGAAAGGCAGGTCACATCTTGCCGAAGAATCAGAAGCATGGCAAGCAGAAGGACAATGGCAAGATTACCAGTGGAGCGATCAGTCCTGGGATGACTGGTCCTGGTACGAGTCTGAGGAATCCTATGCAGCCAAAGGAAAAGGAAAGAAAGGAAAGAAGGGCAAAGGAAAGAGCAAGTTTGGCAAGGATGGAAAAGATGGAAAGTCCGGAAAAGACGGACAGAGCCAGCTTGCTGATGCTGCCCCGAGCGGCACCACAGCCGCCACAACCTTCTTCGTTGAACATCTCAACACTCCGAACTTTTCTTTCATGGCCACCGAAGAGAAGATCAATGAGATCGAGGAAGCCTTCATCTCTCAGCCCTTGACGCCGACCGCGATGGTGTTGGACCTGGGATGCACGAGAGCAATG